TGACCTCTTAGTCATATGGCCACCTCTCACGTACCACCGTGTGAAGCCTCTTTAATTACCCAGGAGAGATGATGGGCTTGAGCGGTATGGAACTGTCAAGTCCGTGTTTAGCCGAATGCTTTATCCATAGTGCCACTTGACCAGGCAGCCAAAACAGTCTCATGACTGTTTTGGAAGGGTCCTGTTTAGGATGTTATAGTCTAACTCCTTTGTTGAGGTTTTTATTTTGCATGGTGTTAGAGAGACTCATCCACCAGTGGATTCACAATCGTGCTGTACAGGTACATATAATGCCATCGGTTTTCAGAAAACCTTTGTGGGTCCATCTCTGTCAATCTGCTATTCAATGTCGACACGGTACGTACACAAATATGCAAAGGGGGCCCATTGTTACATTTATGTTTTTCAGGATTCCGTTGCCTTGTCCATGGCACTTTCCCAAACCCGCAACCCGTGTTCCCGAACAGAGTGTGCTTCTCTAAAAGTGGCTGGAGGTGTAAAAAAAAAAATTCTTACACATTTGGCTATTTCGAATGACTGCAGTTCTCCCTGGCCACTGGGGAGAAGGGAGAGAACACAATATTCTGCCTGCGACAGGTGCGCGGATAGACGCTCAATTGTTGGAACGCGACACGGCGGATAGCGCCACGTGCTCTCTCTCTCCGTGGAGCCCTTCACAACCACGCGGGGGGGGTGAGACCGTGTCAGCATCGCCTGCGGTCGGAGTGCTTGCGCGCACCCTGTGGGCGCCGTGTGGCCTCCCTGCCACTGGACATAGCCCACAAAGTCACGGCGCGCGCTGTATAAATAGCGCGCACATCAGCGGTGTGTGCACGTTCGTTCCCTGATGCCCGTTCGCTCATTGGTTCACTCCCTTCCGCCTAGGCAGTGACATCTCAATGTCGACCCCGCTGCCAGAGAACGGAGCTCTCCTGCGTGGTTGGGGGGGTCACTTTACCGCATCCAATCCAACGTTTTTGCGGGCCAGCAACGCGCTGCTTCGCTTATATTCTTGCCTTTTGTTTTGCTCCCAGTTTCGCTCCCATTCGTGCGATTGGTGGCATGTCGAGAGATGAAGCACTTTACATTCTTAATTTTGAAGTGGCATCGCATCATGCCAGACGACGCTACAGAACGACTTCTGGTCTCATACAAGATGCAAACTTTTACGTGTAATGCAAATAGTGTTATCTGCATGACAATGAAACTAAAGTGATGTAGTTGTCAGTGGCAGCAAATTCATTTCGAGCTTTTTTTGTCCAGTTTTTGGTGACCAGAACATGCGGTTGTGTTTTTACACTCGTCTGTGTCTGGACCCTGAATTGAAACTCGGGGGAAGCCAGTGGTAATGTTTCAGTGCTCTTGAACATGGGCATTATTACAACCTTTGATCCACTCTGGTTCCCCTATCACTGATTCGCTTCACTGGTATGTCATCAGTATCCCACATGCTTAAAAATAATCCATAAGCTGCTGAATTGTCATCGCTGTGCATCACACAAGCGATTGACAAAAGGTTATGAAAGCGGTATATTAAACGTACACGCACTTGCTGCTGATTACTGGCGCATAAAGATGCGGCTTTGCTAATAAAACAAGCTGTAGCTGGTGCAGCACTTTGTTTATGTATGTGCTGTTTAACTTAAATACGTTGTTTGAACTTATTAACACTCGGACAAAGTCAGAGTGTTAATACATTTTTAAACGTGGGTGCCAGTCAATGAAAGGGCGTCCACTGTTGACCACCCACAAAGTTGTACTCGTTTTAGTGACCATGGAGGGATGATTGGCATATTCCCCCCCCCCCCCCGACTAGGATTTCAACTTTAATCCTTTAATTGTGGGTTACTTTTTCTAACCACAGTCACTCAGTCAGATCAGGAGATGTTTAGAAAAATTGTCCTGAGGGTAAATGAAGGTTGCTTTCTAAAATACATTTGGACCAAAATAAAACGTGGCAATATTTGCTTCATTTATCCAGGAAAGCCTTACAATCCAGAGATTGTTCATGGGTATTTGAGGAAACTGGATTGCTCCGATAAAATCAATGCATTTGATGGTTTATAACATCCACAAGTCTGTGCAGGTAAGTCAGAAAACTTGCTTTTTCGTAAGAAATTGCAGCTTAATATCTCGTGCACAACATGATCACAACATTAGTACGCCGTACCAGTGCCTGCTTTTTTGCACTGTGCCATATGGTTTGTGTTTATTGTTTTGGTTTGTAAAGTGCATGGGGGGGGGGGGGTGAAATAAATCCAGAAACAGGTGGCCCGGGCGTCGCTCTTTCAGGTCCGTTGTCGTTGCATCTGGTTTTCCCCGTGGTGTTTTTGTCTGGGCCTCGCGAATCAGAAAGCCACGCTGGTGAGCTGTGGGCTCAGCTCTGTGGAAATGAATCCTGCGTTAGCTCGATTTATTGGCTTCACGTGGGTGAGCAGAAAATTGGCCCGACGGAAAGTGGCTTCGTGATGTTTGTAAGAGGCCATGTTGCCGATGACAGAAGAGGCTTGTATTTGCACTTGGCCATTATTTAAATGGGGCAATTTTATTTAAAAGCACATTTACTCGCAGTTTTTCACTGAATAAAAGCTTTGTGTGTCAGTGTCCTTTTAATGACCCATTTCAGGTTATGTAAGTCAGTTTTTTTGAATGGATGTTGTCTGGATAAACCATTGTGCAGCTGAGGCACGTTGAATTCTGTGCACCATGATTAAAATTAATCAAAGGTTTTGGGACTAAAATACTTCCAATTAGCATTCGGGTCTTCCTCCACTGGGGCATTATTCAACTACATTGACAACTTAAAATCCAGTGTTTATAAGTGCATGCCAATTTCTCCATACTGCAACCACCGTTGACTTTACCACAAAATGGTAACTATTTGTATCCACCTTAGAGGGATGGCTGACAGGGACAACACGAACAATATCTCTGCATATTAGCCGGTATAATACTTGTCTTTCTACCTTTCGCAGGCCACCTCCATTGCCCTATGTGTTTGTGTGCAACACACGATCGTAATCTGTTATGTAATCCATCAACCCTGCCTCTAAGGTGCTGCATTGCAAATAGGTGCCACCACACACCCTGCTTTAGGTGACACGGACTCAATCAAAGCCCTGCACGCGCTCTCTCTCTCTCTTCTACAATTAACAAAGCACTTGAGGCCGCTGGTGATGATAAAGATTTCACAATCGGCGAGCGTCAATCCCAGTGGTGAAGCGAAAATTAATGTTTGTTCTTTTTTCCTCCTGGTACATCGGGTTAAGGTGCCTGAGCCTGCCCCCCAATGCTTCCAAAGCCTGATCTCACCCTGCATCTCAAAGTCAGTGCAGCACGCGCACGCTTGCGTGCGTGTTGGTTTGCGAAACATCTGTCGTCTCGGTATCATCGTCGAGACTGTGAGATGGCTTCAACGTCGGCTGCGGTGACACGCGGGTGCCAGAGCGCACACGCGCGTAACAAATTATTGTGTTCGTTGTGACAAGGGGTGGGTTTCTCAGCTGTGGATTTATGTTTTCTCCAGTCTCGATGAGGGTATGACAGGTCTGCATTGAGTTTCTGGTGTTTTGGAATTCACAAATGTTTTTTGACACACGTATATTATATATAGTTTGTGATTTATTGTAATGTTGCATCCTTTGTAATGATGAATCATTTGTCTCGGACAGCAGTGATCTCATGAGTGCATTTTTACATGTGCACAATTCATCCTTTGGTTATGGATACACTTAACTCATAATAATTTTGGGTTCATTAAAACTAATGTATGAATTCAAAGACTTAATTTTTGCCAGGTGAGAGCTCGTTGAGACCTCATGTTTCTTGCAAGGGTTCCCACCTGTTGACATTTGTGAGCACCACCGAGTGGTTCAGTCTTTGGAGTTGGTCTCTTGGAGACACTGGGCCCCCGCACCATGGAAATGTGGAATTGTAACCGCTATCTGACGGCCAACAGCAGAGATAATACGAGGTCACTTTGACTTTTAGAATTTGACCCATCTGCACAGCTGTTGCAAAATGGATCGTTGCCTGTGTGTGTGTGTGCAAGACATTTATAATGGTTGATGTATTTTATTATTGTTCATAAATCACTGGCACGTCATTTATACTACATTTATGATACGCAGCACTTCTATTCACGCAGTAACGTTCAAACATCGGGAGTGATTTTCACCCAACACTTTTAGACGACACTTTTTCCAACAAAAAAATCACTCATGCTTGTTTGACAAGAGCACAAGTTTCACTGCTGCAATTAGACTGTGATGACTTTGGAAAGCCAGTAACTGTTGTATTTAAATTTATGTGCTTTTATGTGCGCACGTGTGTATGCAGGTAAGTATCCTTGATCAAGTTTCTTGTGTAAATACCATCACTAGGAAGATCAAGGTGGTCAAGCATGGTGCTGGCCATATCTCTCCTGTATGCAGCACCAGCTTTAGTGTGTGTGTGCAGTCTAATGCCTTAGTCCCACAGCCAGTGGGAAATGTGCTGGTTGTGAGCCCTGCGTGCTCCTGGCAACCAGGGTCCGATCGGGTCGAACCGATCCAACGGGGTCCCGTAACCTGGCTCTCAGGCTGACTTTTCAACCGGACCTCGCGCTTAGAATCAGGTTGATCTCAGAATTAGCCATGTTTAACTTCCTGGTTGTGAATAGACCTACCGCTTAGAACATTGGATCAATCAATCTTTATTTTACGTGCCATTATCGCCCTCAATAAAGAAGGCATCAGTGTACATTACAGCAGAACGCGAATGAACATCTCTTCCGCTAACCCCCACCCTCGAGCCATGTAAGGTGAAGGAGGTTGTGTAGGGGTCCGAGCGAAAGGATATGATGCCACAAAGCCTTATGGATCATGAAACCAAGCAAATGTCTCAGCGCCTATTGCTGTTCCCTTTGCTTGAGTAAATGAGGCCCTTGCCACTATGGTTAGCAAAGCTGACCCAGGGTGTCTTTGTGTCTGTGTGTGTGCGTGCGCCCAACTTGGGAGCAGGCGTAGACCAGGACGCGGCACGCAAGGAGGAGGAGCAGGTGATGATGCGCGACGCTCGCCAGTGGCTCAACAGTGGACGCATAGACGAAGTGCGGCACCCTAAGTCGGGCGGCACCGCTCTGCACGTGGCCGCCGCCAAGGGCTACATCGACGTCATCAAGTGAGCGCTCCGCCGCGGCTGCCGCGGCTGCCGCGGCGGCCACGGCGGCCACGGCGGCCACGGCGGCCACGGCTGCCACTTGTTGCACTGGTGGAGCGTTAGACGTCAGCGTGGCGGTTGGCGCACCGCGTGACGAACCTGCCAGGCGACATTTCGATTCTTGGTCAAGGCTGACATCCGTGGTGATGATATGAACTGGTTCAGGGCCTCCTCTAGCCTCATAATCAGAATATGTATTTATACTGGAGGAGGAATCCGATGAGCTATAATGCTCTTTTGCACAGATGTCCAGCCGGGGCGGGTCAGGACGTTAGAAAAACAAACAATACAAAAACACGATAGGAGTGCAAAGTAGAGTAAAGGTAAACAAATTATCCAAAAACATACAAATTAAATGAAACCGTCCCCATCCTACCTGGCAAAGCCCACAGAGATGTTATTTTTCAGAAGTGACCTAATTATGCAAGCATCACTGCTGAGGAGAGACCAAGGTGTCCTGGGTGTGGTGTTAATAAAAATAATACATTTTAATTTATAAAGCGCCCTTAAACAATCGTTCTCAGGGCGCTGGCCCGCATCACCCGGCCCCGCTCATCGTTCCGGAGCTTGTCAGCCTTAATCGTTGCTCATTATTAGCACCTGCGCTCCCACCCCCGACATTCTGTATGGCTGTAGGGGCATGTCTCTCTTTGCTTGCGTGGCCGCGTAGGCTGCTGCTGCAGGCGGGCTTCGACGTGAACGTGCGAGACAACGACGGCTGGACGCCGCTGCACGCCGCCGCGCACTGGGGCAAGGATGAGGCGTGCCGCGTGCTGGTCGAGAACTTCTGCAACATGGAGGCGCTCAACAAAGTGGTCGGTGGCCGGGCGCGCGGCGCCACTGCAGCACTGCGCACGCTGATTGTTCGTCCGCGTTTATTTGTGTCGGGTTCGATTAAAATGAGGGTCACTTTGTTGGAAGTTGCAAGTGGGTTTTGTCCTCCTTGCCACGGGGACGTTGTAAATATTTTGACTGCTGGCTCTCGGGGGGCCACCGGCGAAGGTGAGTGGTCACCCGCGTTGTTTCGTTTTGAGCAGAATGGGGGGACACTTTGACATAATGGCACTCACTTGGGGTACAAAAAGTTACTGAATGTCCCCATGGGCTGTCACCCAGGTCCAGATTAGCCCCGTGGGCTAAGCCTTCAGCTCAGGTCCTTCATCTAAAGAAGGGGGCCTGCGAGTTAAATTGTCACCCTCCTCGTCCCAGCTGCTCATTGACCCCCTGGAAACAGGGTTCATTATTGAGTGTGTTAGCCCACATTGTCTCATGATGAGACAATGACATGCCAGCTCGCAACTTGTTGGAATAGAAGACGCTTGAAGCTCACACTGTTGTCGGGTCTCACCACGCATTCCGCTGTCCGCGTGCCTTGTTGCGATGCAGGGGCAGACGGCGTTCGATGTGTCCGACGAAGACGTGCTCAGCTATTTGGAAGAGCTGCAAACGAAGCAGAAAACGGTACGTGGGTATGGCAGCCACCTACTGGGCCCCCCCTATTTGGGGATAGGGTTAGGTTGGCTTGTCTTCTATACCCCCCCCCCAACTGTGCTTCTGCCCTCTTGCCAAATATGGCATTTTGAGATTTTGTACCATTTTACATTTTGGTGTTTATACCGCCCTCAAGTAACGATTGTTTACTTTGCTGAAGTTTTCAAAGGCGTGCCCGCGGTACTCTCTTTTTCTAAACACCCTCTCCTTTAAAATGTGTACTATGAATTGTTGATATTTGGAGAGAGTGTTATCAACATTTTAGTGCTTTTAAAATCCATACATTGCATTTCATCTTCGCCACTGGCATATGGTTTGTAACACTCGTGGCTAACGTTGATGAACAGGCCTGACTTCAGTGGTTAGCGGACTTCACTACGAACCCGTCTACCCGAGTTCGATTCCCGCTCACGACCAATAACAGTGGCGAATATCTGAACCTGGTCCTGGGCCTCCCCTTGGTCAACTTGGCGTTAAATTAGTACCTGATGCGGTGTGGTAAGCATGAGCTATGGGGTGAGAAAGTCGGCCGGGAGTGGTGCTTACCACCCACCCGCTCATATACCGTGCCCGCCTTCATAGGTGCTCTCTAATAACACTTGCCCCTGCAGCCTGGAAGGCTATATACGGGGGTAATCATTGTCTTTGTGTGGATGTGTACATGCTCTCTCTCGTCACAGATGAAGATCGAGAAGGAGAAGCAACCCATTAACAGCGAGATAATCGAGTCGAATGACACCAACTCCATCAAATCTAGAGGGTAAGGGTTTCGCGGTTGCGAAGCGCCTAACTTCCAGATGTATAAGCTTGCATGTTTAAACAGTGAGTGGCATCCAACACGGAGTACAACCCTGATGAGTGGGGTGGTGCATCTAAGTCAAAGCAAAGACGACTTAATAAAATCCAATACCATGCTCTTAGTCTTATTGGCGATCAATCTCTAGCCGGTCTTTCTAATAACTGATACTTTGAAGATCAGAGCTTCTCTGAAGTCTCCCATTGCTGTACGTCTCAGAATTTGGTTTCATCACCGGTGACTGGAGCCTGAATTCAAGCTCAATTGTCTCTTAATTCATTACTTGAGCAGTGTGAACACCCTAAGGCCATCCAGTCGTCTACTTATATTTTTGACAAAGCACTGTTCATATTCCGTCACTGGGAGTTGTCGCTTCCTCGTCGATGATGCACTGACAATCACCGCGCATGTCCTGAGTGGAGATAATAATTATTTGGCGGCGGAAGTGCCATTGATGATGTAAATTCACGGGTGGAGTGTGGCGGTTAAGCATTGAGCATTGAAAGCAAATTATCCATGCACAGATAGAGGTTGAAGTTTGCTCTGTCGAAAAGGTCACTGTGTCTTGGAAAACATGTTGCCACTAAACATGTAATAACATTGACAAAGCGATGCATGATTGGTTATGGAATCCCCTGGTCGCTTGCTGGTTATGACATGTACCATTAACTCTTAAGCCAAAGGGACGCATGGCATGATGATACCCGTTGTATTTGATGGCAAATGAAGGCAGTCATTGAATTGTAAAACATAAGCTGCTGTATATAACCATGTTGAAGTGAGCAATATTTTTAATGAGGCCGTTATATTCCATCTATGATTAGCTCCTCGCTAAAGTTAAGTTGACAACAGTTCGAATTTGATAATTGGCACACACTACAGATCCCCAGACAAGCCGTGTGATCTGATGTGGCCAGGGGCCCTTAAACATGAAGAACAGATAGAGATTTGTTTTTCCTATGTCTCTGCCAAGCCAAGCCCCAGATGGTATTCAGGCTGTAAGAGGAACATACCAATGGCTGCCTATGCATACTAATTACTTTTTTTTTAGTGCACAACTTATTTTGAAAGCTATGTGAGAAGAGAGTAATGCAATGTATCTAAGAAAGACAAACATCGAGTGGCAGGAATCGGTCCTGGGCATAGAAACAGAAGAAATCCTGATGTGTCTTCAGGTTGTACCGCGTGGTGCTGGGTACGATGCCTGACGTTTCGCTGCAGTTGCTGGGCGCTTTGGCCGTTTCCATACAGCACAACTGCAAAAACCGATGATAGTGCTAATAATTCTGGCCGCTGCATTTTAAATCATCTGGAGTGTGGAGCTCAGCTTTTTGCGGAGGCCACCTGCGAATGATGTTGGCAGTGGCTCCTTGGCATAAGCCCACAACGATCGCAACCCAGTTAATGAACAGAGAGAGGGCCCCTACACTGCCCCCTTGTTGTCGGCTGTTGCGAGCAGGAAGGAGGGTGATGGCGAGAGCAAGCATGACGAGACGAGCAGCTCCAGCTCCGAGGAGGAGGACGACGAGGATGAGGAGGAGGACCAGGAGGGTTCTGAGGCCGAGTCGCAGCCCGAGAACCACACAGGTACAGTCGGTCGGTCGCGCAGACTCTGCCAAACGAGCTCCCCAATGCAGCTGTGGCCTCAACTGCCATCTGATCATTGTCATTGTCCACGAAGCTCATGGTCCACCCTAAATAGCACCCGCACAAACCATGGCAGATGTGGATAACCCGATGCACTGATATAAAATAGAATAAACTGTCCAGCGTGCGACGTTGGGTATCCAGAACACACCAAACGACATATAATGATGCACTGCCCGATCCACAAATACGAAGGAGACTTTGCAGCGATATACTTTGCTGCTCCTGACGCAGTTATCTGGGCTTCACCACCTCAGTATGAAATCGTAGTTGATGCTCTACATCAGCAGCCATACGAAAGAAAGATTGTTATTGTCAAGGTTACAGATGTGATGAAGTCAGCAGTTGTTGGGAACCAAGTCGCGAAGAACTCTGCCACATTTTTCTGACATGACACTGGGAAAAACTTCCCTGGGTTTGGCTACTAATGTTTTTCTTCGCGTTGGTTGGCTTGCTTTATTATACATGAGTGAGTCCTGTCTTTATGATAATGTATTGTTAGCATATTGTTAGTTTTCTAGAGCGGTTTCAACGATGAATGTGGCGAGTTGTTTTTTTGCGCCTAAATACGAATACCCTTGCATTGTTGCAAAGGATATTAGAGTAATGCAGCGGAAATAGATGAAAGAGTGACAGGAAATCGCCAATGGGCATCTGAGTGTGTTGGCAACTGCCCATGCTTGATGCCTCCTGGTGGTCCCAACTGGCCCTGTTGCTGATTTTTCATTTTATACAGAGAAAACGCCTGCCATACGTTTTTTTTCAAATTAGAACGTCAAACACAATGGGAATGTTTGTTTTTGAAGGGGATAAATGTATTTATTGCCATAAAAAACACATGCAATTCATTTTGTCTCTCTCTCTTACTCTGCTTATCTCTCTTTCACTCCCACTGCTACTGGTGGTACGTTATATTTCACTTCCTCCAGAGATTCACTCACTGCATACTTCTCCCATGCTGTATCTCTCTCTGGTTATCTCATTCCGTATATCTCTGCTGCTCTCTCTTTCTGTTGCTCGTATTACATACCTCTCTCTCTCTCTCTCGTGCTGCCTTGCAATTTCATTTTCTCTGCACTGAAATCATCTGTGGCGGTGCTGTTTTTAGAGTTGGTTGATGCGGGCCGATGCTCACAAGTGACACATTTGCTCGTGACGTGTGACTAATCACCCATAACTGAGGCGCGATATGTGTCGCAACTGCGGAGCATTCACTGGTGTGTTTGAATTGTTTTTTTTAAAGGAGGTAAAGTGTGATTTGAGCAGATTTACTTTGCAATGTAATGTGGAGCACGCTAGTTGATGGTGAATTGTAACATTTTGTAAATGTGCATTTAAAAAAAAAATTGTAATTAAGTTTACATTTTGTAAAATGTGTGAAATAAGAACACAATAGAGGTTTCACTGCTTAACATGGACTAGAGCACAGCATTTGATTGCTTCCTGTAATTTCTACCGGTGACGATAACATGACAATGCTGACGTCATGGAATTGGTCATGCACATCAGTGGCAAAAATGTATAATTGACATGCCCTTGGCCTTCATCTTTCGGTCAACTTAGCCTTAATTGAGTAACCTGGTGCTGTTGACAACTAACTTCTTCTGACCTTAACTTATCTAGTCCCCTTGGTCCATGCAGTTGACATTTAACCTTCATACATACGATTACACATACGTACGTGAAGTTAATTGTTTCTAAAAAAAAAAATCTTCTTTGCGACCCGCAGGGAAAAACCGGCCGTCCGTCAAGGAGAACAACAACAACAAGGTGAACAACAACAACGAGGCGATGCCGGACAAGACGTCCGGCGTGACGCCCGCCGGGCCTGGCGTCCCCCCGACGTCGCGGGCCTCCTCGCACGGCCTCATTGTGCCGCCCTCTGCCCCCACGCAGACCACACCCTCCTCCCCGGCCCCGCTGACGGTGACGAACACCCAGCCGCCCGCCACCGCCGCCACCACCCCGACGTCGCCCTCCAGGAAGGTACGGGCCGGGATCCCGCTCAGCGCAGCCATTTTGCTTTAACAAATTTTTTTTTTATAATTTCGTAGGTGGCAGGAAGGTGTGTGGAAGAAGCCCTTCACCCAGCAGTTAATTGATGAATGGCATTACTTTAATGGAGCAGATGGCCCCGGGTGGCTCTGAGATAATCCCCGTCGCTTTGCTGGCGCTGCTCCTGAGTTGGTGTCTGGTTCCCAGCCACTTGTGGTTGTAACAGTGAAACTGGGTTCGAGTGTTGATCTGATGTCTTAGCCTGGTCACCAGATTGCACAGTAAAACTTCTTGTATTGAGTTTGGTTTGTCACGTAGTTTTCTATATTCAATTTCTTAAAAATAACACATTTGGATTGATTGGCATGCCACAAGCACACAATTTGGTTAGAGGCCTTTTGAAGGGACTACATTTGAATTTATCAGCTTGTGCTGAGTTTTGAACATCATCCTCACATTCGTCAAGGTACCCTGGTTTTCTCCACTTGAGAATAATGGAATTGGTCAAACCTCCCGATACATGAACCCTCTCCTGAAAAAGCCTTCAAGCTCTTCTCAATAAATCAAAGGGTCAGCCATTAAAGAAGGCATTTGGCCTTCAGTCGCAAAACACTTTTGCTTGTACTCCTTTTCTCTCGTCTCCTCCCTCCGAGCCTCTTCACTCCTCAAGTGTTTCTGCTTCCAGGAAGATGCTGATGTTGAAATAAATGACTGTATTCCTGTGTTGCATCCGAGTGTGGTATGTCTTGTTTCGTTAATTTTTTTTCCTCCGCCTCCTTTGTTGATTATTTTGCCTGTGCCTTGCCTTTCTCTGTCTCTGTCTTTGCTTTTCTTTCCCTTTGTTCCGGGCGTTGTCCTCTCTGCCGTCCCTCCGCGTGGCCCACGCTGCTGCCTGCCTGCCTGCCTGCGGTTGACCGTGTGGCGTGCGCAGCCTGAATTTGTAGCCGCCACCTTGCCTGCAGTGGCACCGCTAAACCCGCTAACGTGGCGGCAGGGCCTGCGTAAAACCGGAATCCCGCTTGTGCCCCAGAAAGGGCAGGTAGTGGTGGCTCCTCTCTCTTTGAAATCCTTTTGTGTTTTGGAGTTTTTCCCCCTCCTCTCTCTCCCTTCTATCCCCACAAATCCTCACGAGCCCATTAATCCCATCTCAAAAATTACCTGTGTGTGTGTTTGGTTTTGTGTGTTCCCAATACGTACAAAGTTAGATAATAACATTGTTGAGCATTATGTCCACGTTTTACCTTGGCACTTTTATGACCCCTCTTTCCAAATATTTCACTGACCTCCTGGCAGCATTTAGACTTAATTTTTTTGTATAATACTTAATTTAAAATAGAATATATATATATATATATCTGTGCACCTAAAAGCTATGAGATAAAAAAAACTCTTGACAACATTGCATAGTCCAAGTTGAAAGAACCGCAATGTTTTCATAAAAGGGGGGTCAGTTGAAATAGAAAGTCAAATAGAAATAGAGGAAATATCCCCAACTTGTTAAAGTAACCCACTCTACCCAGAATCCCTCGCTTCAGACGACTTCCCCCCCCCCCCTACTGCTAACCATCGCGCATGCACGTACGCATGCGTCTGCTGTCGTTCACATGCGCCTCCTTACCCAGAGACCTCCTTAGCCGACCCCTCCACACCCTGCGCCTGCTGTCCCTGGACTCACACCGACTCCCCCCCCCCCCCTCCCGGGTGTTTGTTCCCCCCACCCTCGCTCAGTTCCCGAGCTCGTTCCCGCGAGCCGGCGCAGGCGGCATCGCCGCAGGCGCCGCCGCTCCCAAGGAGGAGGAGAAGAAGACCGTGGACGTTGCGCCCCCTGCCAGCGCACCCGCCTCATGGCGCTCGGGCCTGCGCAAGACCGGTAGCCACGGTGCGCTGCCCGAGGCGGCGGCAGCGGCGGCGGGAGCGACGGGAGCGGGCGAGCCGCCGCGCGACGCCCTCCGCGAGAGGGGCGACGTCACGCAGGCCGGCTCGGGGATCGCCCGCTCGGCCTCGAGCCCCCGGCTCACCACCACCGAGACGCGCGAACGCGAGAGGGTGAGTGTGTGTGTGAGTGTGTGTGAGTGTGTGCACGCTGGGCTCAACACTCGATCATCCTCGCAGCAGCAGCGGCTTTTGGATAGCCGTTGAACGAAGATGGTTAGTGTATCGGGGCGCTTTCAGATGCGCTTCATGCGGGCGTCTGAAACGCTCTTCCTTCTGATATTAGGATGGCGCTTAAGCTATGCACTTTTAAATCTGTGTTTAGTTTCTTCTGGACATCTGTGAAAAAGAGATGTATAGCTCATTGGATTCCTACCGTATACATTTATATTCTGATTCTGATTGTTGTCCTTCCCCCGCACCTCCGATGAGCACGGTTGGCTACGTATGGTGCGAAAAAAGTTCTACATACATACATGCATACGATGCGTTCAGTTTCTGTGTCGTTCGTGATTCTTACGGTCACGAGCAGTGGTACAGAGGTTGCGATGCTGTCTGGGTGTGAAGAGCCTTTGATTTACTATTTAAAAATGCGATGTCATATGAAAGGATTGGAAGTATTGCACTAGAAGAAGCTGGTTTTCCACCAGCGTGTAGCGTGTAGCCCGTGCCGTGTACGTGTGATTTGCTGCAGTTGGCTGCTCATCGCATCAGATCAAAAGGACAGGGTACTATTTTTATAGCTGCTACCCAACACGTACACACATGACCAAATTCACAATGGGTGCAATGTCATGGGTCTTTATATATAGGCCTTATTCTTTTTGTTAAGGCGCTCTTCTTGCACCTCCAACCCAGTGTATATATAAGCTCCTAGCTTGGCAGTGTATCATTCTTCACCTGAAGACGGCTGCTTGCGTTGTAGCCGAAACGTCGTGAGAATTATTTATTTTATTATGTTTTATTTTTATTATTTTATTACTTCCCTTCTACGTGACTTTACCGAAAGAACCAAGAAGATAGTATGTAGTTCTTTACACGATCAAAAGGCAAACTTGTCTAGAATGCAATTACAATATTTTCAGATTTATGGAGCAGCGGAGACATAATTGCATGTTAATATATAGTTGATAAAATGTCCTCGCGCGTCCCATGGATGGACTGATTCCTGCCGTATGAATTTTGAATGTTCATTTGAATTGGAACGGGCTTAGTTGTGGGATAAATGCCCAAAAACACTGTCACCCCCTCACTGGTTACAGCAATGTGTATGTAAATAGGCACCACCACACACATGTATAGGGATGGGGAGAGTTTGTAGCTCGGGATGATACCAGTTCACGACAACACTTTTTCATAAGCGTTCTATCACACTGCTTCGCCACCTTCCATGGTTATAGCCTTTGGGAAGTGTGGAAGACACGTTGCCTTGGCCTTCACGCATACCCGCTGTGGCTTTGCTTTGTAAACCTGGCAGCCTGTGCTCATTGTGTTGATGCCGGGGCGTGCAGGCGTTGCTGGCGCAGCCGGCAGGAGAGAGGGACAGCCTGGGCACGAAACTCGCCCGCGTCCCTCCGACCATCAGCGACAACAAGTTCACGTTCCCGCGCAAGCCTGGGACTGCCGACCCAGAGGAGAAGGAGAATAGGTGGGGGAATTTTAATATAACGGCAATATATACACAATATATATAAGCAAACAGGGTTCTGTATCGCCACATGTGAATACGTATTTTTAGTCCATCGACCCTTTTCGCTTTTCAGACCAATATTATCCAGAATTTTGTGTAAGCAAATACATTTTGGAGCAGTTTTGACTGAAGGAACGAAACGATATCGATTTATATTTGGTGGGGGGGGGGGAGGAAATGTTCTTATTTATGAGCTCTTGCCCTTAATGATTCCCAACCACATATCATGAGTTTGTATTTATGTCGTCTTCATCATCATCATCAGCCATGTGCAATCCATTGCAAGATGAAGGCTTCATAAATCTGCCACCATCTCTCAAGATGCTGCGATGTACTTTGCACCTGCACACCAACTGATGGAAGTGCTCCATCTCCGTGTCTGAGACGTGTAACATTCTTTGGCTGCCACTCTTGTTTATTGCTTTTGACCCGCAGCCATCATTGGTATGTTGCTTTTCGTTATCAAGTCCAGCTTTTCAAAAGAACTCCAACCTGCTCTCATCTGTCTCTTATTATTTTTTTTACATATTGTAATTTCGTTTCTGCCTTCAATAGCTGTCTACAATACAAATACTCTGCTGTGTTTGACAGAAAACTCAAATTCTGTATGTAAAAATATATAGATGTGATTACCCTCCTGCTCGGTGGCGCTTTGCTTAGAGTACGTGAATTTCAATCGGAAATTCAAATCTTAGTTGGGCATTCACCCGGCCATCTACCTACCTCTGCGTTTGATTATACGAGTACAGCTTTGTGGGAAATCGACCGTGATTGTGCTTTTGATTGTTTGACCCCTGCTGTGGGAATGATACATTTCCACCACCGTCTCACGGCCACCAATGCGATTGAGCATCACCCTAAAAGGTCGCTTGCGCAGAGAAACAAAAACACCGATGTTTTACTTTTAATATCCTCGCTGGGTTCACTTTGTGGGTGGGATAGTGATCGGTAACAAGAACGGGCCCCCCCCCCCACCCCCGTGGCTCTTCACTTGACTCTCTTGGTTTTTTTCTTTTCTCTTCTTTTGTTTAAATTCCCATCGTTTTTATTCGTGGAGGAAACGATGATGCGCGTGGCCGGCCAGTGTATAAAAATAGCTCATTATTATTGTACACTTAGCCAGCGGAAAGCTTATATTTTGCATTGTGTTCTTTCACCGAGCCAAAGGTTCCCAAACATATTTATTTTAAGCGAGCAGCAACTTCAGTGTGCCAATAAAAGCACACATGCCTGTAAATGTCCATTTTTTTTAAACAGAACTTGAATTGAGCTGTGTGACCAAACAAACTGCTAACTTGGCCGTAAGCGGTCAAAAGTAAACTCTTGTCGTGATCTATAAAATGAGTACCACTTGTTGTAAGTCAACACTGGTGGTCCGTTACAGAGACTGGCTGAAGCCATGAAAACAGAAGCCATCAAACACGCGAGTGTCGACTCGTAACTTTAAGCCAGAGTATAATAAAAAACTAAATAGCATTTCACTTGTGTTGCAGCATGCACTCCCCCCCCCCCCACCCCTACATTCACTGTTTGAACCCCATTCAATCTTTACGAGAAAACAGCAAGCTGTAGATGTTGTACATTAAGATTGACATCCACGGGTACAAGGTGCTCATGTCTTCAGCTTAGCATGGGACACAAGGGGGGCCTCTGTGATTTCCCTTCCATTCTGCCTTATTCCATTGGTGCTTGCCAAAGTGAGGCAGGCCGGAGCGGTACATCCTTCTCGTGGCTCCGTACCGGCAATGCTGCTCTAGCTTCTTGTTTGCTAAACTCTGGGCTCTTTCAGATGTATTTGACCTCTATCCTAACAAGCGATCAATTCTGCATATTACAGGATTTTTTAGTATATATCAAAATGTATTAATTGACAATCACATGCTAGATATGCTACGATTGTGACACTTGCCCACAGTTTGCTCCTAAAACAACCTGCGTTCAGTGTGTGTACGTACGTCTGCTCATAGCGGAATTGTGTGTGTGTGCGTGCGTACCGTGTGCACGTCTGTGTGTGTTTGCAGGGACACGGTGGGGATGCTTTTAGCTCGAAGTAGCTCCTACACCCGACGGAGATTCGATGATTCGAGCGAAAACACGGCACCCGCGTACCAGCGCAGGTACCCCCCTGCCATTGGTGTCTACTAACGTCGTTCACATTCTCCCTGAAGTACAAGAGCAGCACTTTTGTCTCGTACATCGCTGGATGATATGTTGAGTTTAATTTGCTAAGTAACTGCTTCAGTGAATTTAACACGTAAAATAACAGGTTAGTGAAAAATAATTAGGGTTTTTTTTTTTTTGCTACTGTCGCTGTGGAAAAAAAAAATGTTTTCCCATATGTTCATATTCAGATTGTCTGATGGAAGTGTAATGAGGTTTCTCATTGTGTTGACATCCTATTCAGCGCTGTGCTCGTACCCCGTACTTAGGAACCCGCACAGGCATCGCATAATGAGATACAAAAATCATTTAAAACCACATAATAGCTCCTCTGCAATAAAGGGGTCAGCGATTTGGTGCCAAACGTGCACTAAGCTGCGGATGTATTTTACCTATGATGAGCATTTGGCAGGTATAGCCGGAGTTTTGAATTAATTTGCCACTGTGAAAACTCTAAACCTTGCAATTATTGGCTACTCCAGCTTAGATTTCTCATTTTACGGAACCTTTACCGCTTCGGTTTGTCGGGGGGTTATAATTAACAAAAGGCTAAAATCACTTTCCCGAAAAGGCTTTTTTTTATAGAGACGAGAGCCCATGTGGGCAGTTATTAGCGGCAGTAAATGTTGCACGATGTTCGGGGGCGGGGGGAGGAGAAATATAAATCAGTCTGTGCTGTATAAAAGCAGGCATCTTCGGTGTTTTGTTATTCTAGGTGGCGTGAGTATTCTCACTCCGCTGCCTGTATGTTAATGTATTCAGTGGCAAAGGGACAGGCGATGTTGAAGTTTTTACTGCAAGGCAAGTTTGTGTATTTGGCAAAGGTGTTCATTTTCCGGCACTGAAATAGTTGCGCATAAAAATTAGCGGTGCACCGAATAACATTTTTATTATCATGCAAAGTTACGAGTCCAATCGGATCTGGATTCGAAGGTTGTTAGTCATATCTGTATCTATATTTTATGAAATAAAACAAACCATATTTCCAGGCCAAACTACTAAACTGCACCCTCCAAATCACACACTGCACATTCACATACCAGAGCCCCTTTATACACATCACACCGCCTTCACCGCACACCTTGCCAAATATCACGATAACACTCTGCTCCATCCCTCACACCTCACCAAACACCCTGAATCCCCCTACACACCCCTCTCATCATACCCGGCTATCCCTCATCGCAGACCCCTCATCCGATAATATACACCCTGCCACTGCATCACAAACCAACCACGCACCACTAACCTCTCACCGCACAGTACATCAGGGAGTGGTGCGGCCTTAATAGGTGATGATGATGTTGATCCGGTTCTGGAAATATGGTCGTAAAGTGGATATTCGGTGCACCTCTCTAACTAATCGTAACAACGATGAAGTAGGTGACTATTCACACACCGAAGAATCAAGGGAATGATCCAATAGGTGAAACCCGCCGAAGAGAACTCTGCATGCCCTATGGTTGCTGCGTGCTGCAGGCTCGACTGCTTCCTTACTACGTGGCAAATGGAAAAGAGGTTCTTTAGTATCGCTGTGCTCAACTCTTGTGCTGGCATGCGGGATGGGAGAGGGGGCAGTGTGTGTGGCGGGTGGGGGGTGAGCATGAATGCCGTCCTTCCCTCTATGCCAAGGTTGTTCCCCTTTTCCGCTCAAACGCCCCGCCCAAGGCAACCGCCCCCCCCCCCGTACCTGCAGTCCGCTAAGGCTGGGGGGGGGAGGGGGGCTTGTGTGAAATGACCGCTGATATTACGCGCGTCCATGATGAGGGTGTGACGTGATGCAAAAAAAAAGTGGTGACCAACAAACGTAATTTCTTTCACCTCTTGTTTCAAGCTGTCAAATCAATTTGATGTACTCATAACCGGGTGAGAGTGCATAGAGACAAAAAAGCCTCTTTTGTAAAGGATGGCCTGGGGTAAAATACAAACACAAAAATAATTGCAATGGCAAAAAATGTCACGGTCATTATGCAGAAACACAAAACAATCAAGTAAGCGTCATCATCAACCGGCCAGGTGGCTCCATAATGGAGTGAGTGGTTCATAATCAAAAGGTTAATATCCTGGTTAGGGGTTTGACTCAGCCCATCATCCTTCCAAGGTCGATAAATGAGTACCGCTTTGTGGCAAAGTTAAACAGTGGTTGTCCTGTGGATAGACTTGCCTCCGCCATCGGAATATGGAATTTCCACCACTGCCTCGGCATTCTTTTGAGCAAGAAATGACTCCGACTTTTGACTTTTTGAACCCTTGTAAATAATCAAAACTACAGTTTGATTACATAAATTCCCAGAATCCTTTTTTTTAGGGATACGAGTTTAAATCCAGTTTCAGCTGCTAGGCAGTGGAGACCTGATCAGGTGAGCAGTGACTTCTCAATTTGTAAGGAATAAGCTAATTGTTTATCTCTTCAATAGGTCATCCATATTTAATTTCCATTACCCCTTTGAGTCTTCAAAATGAAATTGCATTTGAGAATTTTAATGACTTCTCGCTGAATATGTAATTGGCGTTGGTAGCCTTTACCCTGAACCTAACACCGAGTAAGAAGTCAATTTTATACCTAATTTGTTCTTGGCTATTGTCATTGATCAGAAGTCATTGTAAAGCACTCCCATTGCTCCATCTTTATCTTGCTGGCTGGCTCCAGATGCCACCTCTAATTTTTCAGAAAATAGTTTTTACCCGTATTAAATCGGACGTGGATGGGGAAACAATCGGCAAAGGTTCCTGCAATCGATCACAACATCCCAGGAGATTGTGATTACCATATAGCTCATCTCATTTTGGCTCCCCATCACTTTTTTGCATCACGGCACCTTGTTACATTTTGCAGCACAGGTATAAAATCCCCGCTGCTGTATCCATCCAGGAGAGGACTGCTGCATGCCTTGTACCTTCGCCTCCTCGCTCCTTCATGACTTCATCCCCTGGGATGCTGACGGTCCCTCTCCTCTACAGATCGTCGCACTTGCTCTCTCAATGTTCCTTCATCCCCAATACCTGTATTTTTACATTTGTAATCTCCCTTTTTTTCTCCTCCCTGTCTTTCTGCCGACGCCGTCATTTAGCAGCCCCAACGGGAGGCACGGTGGAGAGGTCTCTTCTTCTGACTCTTCCTCAGGCCTCTCGCCCTCCTCACCCCCTCCGGTCCTCCCCACCTCCACGTCCACCACTCCTGTGCCCACAGTCCGTGTCTCGGATGACGTTATGAACGTTACTAGCACTGCCCCAGTCTCTGCCGTAGCCCTCTCAGTGGGCAGGTAAGACCCTGTGGGTGGGTGGCTGTGTGGGTACAAGCCCTCCGCTTTGCCATCGTGCCTGTCCTGCGTGTGCCACGCTTGTCCCCCCCCTGCTTGCTTGCTCTCTGCTGTGCGCTTTTGGAAACGAGAACAAACGCAGGTCGGCTCCCTTAACTCATGGTTTCTCTAACTCCAGTTCTAGCAACCAGCTCGGCACAGCTGAGCACTTGGAGAACACATTTTCCAGGCATGGTAGCGCACACCTGTCGTAACACCTTTGGAGGCAGGGTTGGTGGACTGTTGAGATTTTTAGGTACCACGAGTCGCCAACCTGATACCAGATGTCTGCTGTGTCTGAATTTTGAAACGTTATTTCCTATTGGTAAGGGGCCTTTTCCCCAGTCACTTTGGTTTCCACCTGGACATATAAATGCGCCATAACCAATTGGCCCAACATGCTCAGCAGATAGCCCTTCTGGTTAGGTGGGCTTAGTTATGACCCTTTACTGGGTATATAAAGGATTTGAATGATTAACATTATACTTGGGTATGTGTGCCATGTTCTAATCCTAATTTATATTTGCATAGAGAAGTGTGGCTATAGTGGAAGAGTGTGCCGAGGCAGGGTGCAAGGAATGGAGTTGGAGAAATTGCATTCTAACTTGTGTGCATGTCGTCTGCGGACATTCTCTGTCCTCCGTGTTCCGGTCTCCTGCGCTCTCCTAACTTCTTTTGGGACTTCATGAACCACGGACACATCTGGCGAGGCTTACCAGTCCTTGTTCTCTGGTACAATTAGACTCCCATGGACATTTACCAAATTCCCCCCCTCCCCCCATTTTTTTTATCTTGCGGAGAAACAACCCCCAAATGGGTTTGCGCTTCGTACATAAGGAACTCGGCTATCCAAATTGTATGACTTTTTTTTTCTCACCTCTTAGGAAGTGCATTATATGACTCATTCAAAAGTTAGACCCAAACGAGCACTCATTCCATTCTCTTGTGCGACCCTGTTATTATCGTATCAGTAGGTGTTGCGTTGAATTGAAAAGTGGCCAGATGACACAATCTTTTAGAGTGAGCGACTCACATTCGGAAGGTTACGAATTCAAATGCCTGTTGGTGGATCCATTCAGTCCATCGTCACCGCTGGTCATCTTACACGTTGACTAGCCCCCAACATAGGCGGGTTCAAATTAAATCACTGGACCAATTAAACAAAATAAAAATGAGCACCACCTCGTGCTTGTTTGAACTAGAGGAAGCACCTTGACTTCGTAAAAATTCGATTGATTGTTTTTTTAATGCAAAAGAATGTTGCCATAAAGTCAGCCCCCCGCGCCCCCTGGCCCCGGCCTATGCTGGAGAATCCCGTCTTGTTGCTCCACTTCGCAGTAGCTCGGCCATCTTTCGCTCTCGGGTCGAGGAGGCCCCCGAACGGGGCAGCAGGGAGGGCATCGGTGGCGGCAGTGGTGGCACCGTGCCCGCCGTCACCGTGACGGTCCCGCCCACGGTGTCGGGAGGCTCGGCCCCGTCCCTGGAGAGCGGGGCGGCCCTGTCCGGGGAGAACAGAGAGCGACGCAGGTGTGTGTGCTTGCGTGTGAGTGTACGTGTAAGCGAGTGCGTGCGTGAGTGTGTGTGTGACTGAGTGGGTGCAAGGGGGCGCTTGAAGGTGGAATTTAGCATAACCGCTGTATTTGTAGATGGGCAAACAATTTTTGAGGAAGCGTTCTCCGTCCGCTTCTCAGTTGGATAAGTTCCCAAAATAGAGGACGTGGATCGTCATTAACTCTCACAGAGATGGAGTCCATAACGGTCACCGTTCACTTTCATTGGGACTGGTTTTGGTAATCAAATTTGCGTGTCTATTAATCTGTTTGTGCTTCACAATTCTAATAACACTAACCGTAACACTAACCAATGGGTTCTTTGCAGAAAATGTATACTTTATAAAAACTGATTTGAAATGTGGAATTTACTGAAGGCTGTTATTCATCGCAATGAAAGTTAATTGAGATATTTTTGCAAAAGTCAAAATGTTGCGGTTGTGCTAAGTTGTTGCCTTGTTGTGACCCCCTGCACTCGTTTAACCTTAGAACCACTCACCCATCCCACCTGCCATTCCCTTCCTGCCTCACCATACCCACCCATTTACCATGAAGCTGCAATCTAGACCAGAGGTGTTTATCCTGTGGCCAGCGGCCATTTGTGTAAACTGAAGGTGTATTTTATCCCCTCCCCTCATTGGTGTTGGTATACGCATGGATGAGCGTTGACGTGTCGCGTATTCCCCTATCCATGTCTTTCCCTCATGGGACCTGCTCATCCTTCATGCATTCAGCCACATACCGACTCCCAGTCATTAATTCATTCTAGTGAGTTTATCACTCGTAATAAAGAGCTTTTTTGTAGGATTATAGCTGCTACATTTTTCACATCCAACCACAAAATTCGACAGGTTCACAGTTCCATTGATTTTTTTGATCAGTTACCCTCATACTCGGAAAATCTTTCTAAGTATCAATTGCTAAATTAGAAACACAATTCTATTTATGGCCATTACCTTTATGGGTAGTTCATTTGAGCGATATAAGTCCGTTAGCCTTACAACTTTAGTGTCCCATTCTTAAGTCTGACACTACAAGTGGGTCAAAACAGGATTGTCGGTGTATGGTTCAACACACTTCAAGTGCTCTGCCCTCTTGGTTAATTGCCTAAAAGGACCTACTTTGTCGTTTCATAACTAGTTTGGTTATCTTTAAGTGACCTTTCACCACTCCCGTGTGACCCCTGTCATACAACTATAGGGGAGGCCACATTGTCCATCCATTAAAGTTTAACTCTGTACATACGGACATGGATTTGGCAGACCTGTTACTCGCCAATACCGATTCATCTGGGTGCTAAGCCTGATTGTGAGGCCTGTAGAACTTGAAGAGTTTTTTTTTTTTATACCAGGCTGGCAGTTAACATCATGAACCAATGTGAGTTGATCTGACCTGGCCCCATGGAACTGCTTCAGGCAATTCTGATTCCCCCAAAATGCTAAATACTCTTGAAGGCATTGGCAGACTACTTATTAAAAACATATTGCAAGTAAGGCTTTTCTAGAGACAATTATGAAATAAACTAGGTATTGTGGGAGTGGGCCAAACTCGCAATGAAACAACTATAAAATACGTTTCTGGCCTCTAAGTAAAGATGGCCAAACAGATGTGCACACTCTGTAAGAGCAGATTTTGCAGGTTTTGTGTTGACCCTGCAATAGTCGCGGAGTCTACCAGAAGGAACGAAGCGATCGTAAGGTGTGGTTGCATCGGCGACATTTGCCGTGATGACCTCTGGACATTAATCTTTGAATGGAAAGCCCAACGTAAGTCCATCCTTCTTCGTGGACATCACTGATGACACCTAGTCGAACTCCCCTCTGGTTTGTCTTCACTCGTGTTCCAGTCAGGAGTCTGTGCCTGTTTTAAACGATGTCCACTTCCCTAGTGCCCTTAACAAGTGGACATGTTTAGAATGTGTTCCCTCATGTAAATGCAGCTATAGAAGTATTCTTCAGTGGTTTTCTCATGGGTCTTGAAAACATAGCACTTAACTGACCTCACTTTGGTTTTGTACTTAATTTGGCGAAATTCCAGCTCTGCCAAATAAGTATATTTGTTTGACTGCCACGCAATGAACATTTTTCATTGTAGCAGGGTCTGTGGGAAAGTGTCGGATGGGAGATTGCAGAAACGTTTCTGTGAAATCTCATCCTCCCGACCATTCTATAACACATGGGTGATGTTCTACTCACCGAGAGTTCCCAAGTTATTCTAAATCTTAATGCAGATGGCAATAGGGGAAAATCCACTTAAAAATAATATATTTAGTCTGTAATTCAATACAGATGTAATCCAATAATAAATAACTCGTATCTTTTTGGTACATGCCTAGGCTGTGTCCTGGAGTTGCCAACATGATATTGAGGCTTAATTTGTAACTTGGAAATCAAGTCAAGCTCTCTAGTGATGTCACTGCATTTACGCAAATATGTTTTACACCAGTGACTTCAGAGTTACACGACTAGCGCTCCATATAACGACTCCATTCAATTGAACTTAGTGGTCTTCTTTATTCCGTATACGTATCACTTTTGATGTCGGATTTTCTTACTGTGCTGATGCACCACGGAATCTCCCTTAGAAACTAGCTGGGTGACTGTTCTTTACGGGATTTTCCATGTAACAAATCATTGAATTTGATTCTTTCTCATTGATGAAACTTCAAAGCCATGTTGGACAACTGGGTGACCCACAGCCTAAGTATGTCTCTTCGGTAAGAAAGCTCTCGTGTTTATTGGTTCGCGTCTTACCTGAATCGCGAGAGGTGCAAATTTATATTTTGTCGAATATCCCATGTATGCTCCTGTATTTGAGACTTGAAGGATACGGGACCGCTGGCCAAAACGATTTTAACACCTCTGGCCTAGATTAGCCGTCAGTTTTCCGTGTTACGGTCGTAATGGTTGCTGCTTGTGTCGCCTTGTTTGCCGAGCGAGCCAGTTTGTGCTTGTTGTGGATTGTGTTTCTTACGCTTTGCATTAAATGTGTGTGTTGCGTCCCCCCCCCCCATGAGTGAACCCTCTACCCCGTTAATTATGATTTTTTTTCCTTCTAAAATAGAAATGTTTAATATTTAAATGAGCATCTTGCAGTCGCCAAAATGTAAGCGTGAAATGTGTTTGGTTATTCTTGAACATCCGTTTCCCTTGGTTGTGGGGGGGGGGGGGGTTTCTTGAGCCGTTGGAGAAACCAAATAAGGTGGCGTTGGCAGAAGTTTGAGCTGCTGGTAACAACTCCACTGCGGTGTTCTACAGCCCGCTCAACACATTCGTTGTCTAGCATTGGCTGGAGTTGGCTTTCCAGAAGCCTCTAACCGCAATAAATGCCACCATATTTGGTTTGTTCTCTCTGCTAGAAAAATCTCTGCCATAAACCAATACCGGCATTTAAGGGTGCGACGGACTCAACAGTCCCATTATTGTGGCGTTAGATAATGACAACAATTACCGTTTGAGTGGTTAAACATCTTAATTTGTCACGTTCGGGATTAATTGTTTTTTTTCTAATTGCACAATTAGAGCATTGATAATCTGTTTATTTTCAAACATGTTTGGCTTTAAGTCTCTGCAATTATTTTGATTATCTCCTTTGAGATCCCCTAATCCTCTTAAGACATTCCGCATTCTCAAAACACGTTACTTTATGCGAATTGCTACTTTCGATAAACTGTGTACGGTGCTACACTTGAGCGACCCACAAGGCTCGTGCGAACAAAGTCTCGTCCACCCCTAACCCCTCTCGGCTGACTTACGAAGATACACAGAGTGAGCGTGCGATATCGGTCGCAGGTCATACCTCACGCCCGTACGCGACGAGGAGTCGGAGTCGCAGAGGAAGGCCAGGTCCAGGCAGGCCCGGCAAACGCGTAGATCGACCCAGGTGAGACTTTGCGTGAGCGATGAATGTTTCCACGTCCTGGCTGGCATCCATAGGACGACGGTGTGCAATGGCATCCAATCGTTTGTCCACAGGGAAGGGCAAGAGAAAGTCACTTACCCCATCATGTGTGTTGATGTACGTTTATGGAAATTCTGCCCACGACAAAGTCTGTTGAGCCTACAGTATTATCGATTTCAAATATGAGCATGAGCTGGCTCTCGCCTGCAATGGAGACCCGGAGCTAGCTACGGAGTTCTACATTACTGTGATGTGGTCAATCTCTCTGTGGCATTGCCTCGTCGGACACCGTTTCACAAAATGAACAGAAAAGTTTGCACGGTACCGTGTACAGGAGAAGAATGCGTCGGTGTATGTAATTATTACCACGTGGTGAATGCAGCCAGTCTCTCCGATCCTGCAGTGCTACAACTTGGTGACGGTGGAAGTGCCACCCATGTAGCTGCTTGTAGGCAGCAAAGGAAAAAAAAAGGCCCAGATAGGAAATAAACTCGGCTGTGATGTCAGCCGGTGCAAAATTTTGCTGTTAACGTTTGTCAGTGCTGCTTAAAGAGGGCAAACGTTGCCCCCCAGCTGCCTCGCTTGGTATCGCAATCCATCTCAAAACTATTTGCCTGTTTTGGTGTCCAGGAGACTCACGGGGCTCATGACGAGAGTGCCAGAGGACTAAGTACAGGATACTGACACTGGTCAGAGGGCTTGACTCGCAATCAGTTGGGACACAACTCAACTCAGTCCGCCACCTGTTTTGGGTTGATACAATGAGTCACACTTGCTGAAATATCAGCAGTGGTTGTAATCATGCAGATGATAGCCGCCATTATAGATGTGGCATTTCCGCTGTTGATTCGGTGAAACCAGCAGAGATGAATTACCACTCCATTGCTTGTGTGAGCATATAAATACATTGGCTTTGATTTGAAAAATGGTTTCGGTTGAGTTTTTTTGTAAATGAATCCATGGTGTAGCATTGGTGATTGAGACGCCCTGCAGACGAGACTCGGGAGAATATGAAACTGTATAAAGTTAGCCTTTAATACAATTCTACTGCAATACATTAACCCATAATGCCTATCGGTTAATGCCATTTCAATTCGATGATGAAACCAAAAACTCGTGTTTATTTAAATTTTATTTCACCACCCATGGCAACGAAGCAACAATTTTTTTTCTCCCCCCTTTGTGTCTCTTTTCTCCCTCTCCCACGCCGTCGGGCAGGGCGTCACCCTGACAGACCTTCAAGAGGCTGAGAAGATCCGACGCTATGGCTCGGACAAGCGCGGGGGCCGCGAGCAGCCCGAGGAGAAGGAGTCTGCGGAGAGACTCGACGACAAGAAGGACACGGAGTCGCGGGAGGCGTCGGACGCGCGGGGGCGGCCCTCCCGCACCTACGGCAGCGACGTGAGCTGGGCACTCCTCCCCCCCGCCCGCCCCATGCCGCTCTGCACTGAACACCCGCACCACCTTGCCATTGCCCCACTCCGTCCACTAATGGCATCATCTGCAATTCCTTGCTACTCTGGTGCCCTACCACACAATTCCTGTGTTCTCACCATCATAATAATTCATAATTTTTATTTATGCTACTATAATGCTCAAATTAACAGAGCATTGAATGCCAAACCAAAACCGAACAACAATACTGCTGAAAGTGATCAGATTATCAAAACAATGAAAATACCATATATCTCGGGAGTTACTGACAAATTAGCTCGTGTTTTGCAAAAGCAAAACATTAAAGTGAGATTTGGTACGGTACACAAAATAAATAGTGTCTTGTACTAAAGATGAATTACCGAAGTGATCAACAGAAGGTGTATATTGGATCAATTGCTTATGCGGTAAATGCTTTATTGGACAGACGGGACATAACATGATCATAAGACTACAAGAACACCAAAGGGATATTAAATTATTTCAAACACAACTGTCAGTAGTGGCAGAGCATGCTTGCCAACAAGGACATTCAATTGATTTTGATACCGTTGAAGTGTTATGAAAAACGAATTATTACTGGCCAAGACTAATTGGATACAAATAATTCAAATCGCTGTGATAGCTACAGACTCAGCGCAGCCTGGAAGCGTATTATTAAGTAATTCGCAATACATTGCAATTCCTTATAGAGGAGTCACATGCTAAGTGGCTGATTACTGTTCTATTACATTATTGCAATACCCCCCCCCACCTCCGCCTCTGATCTCGAAACCTAATGGGGTTCAACAATGAAGACGTCATCCTGCACTATTTAAAACCGGAAGCAAATTGCCCGAAAATGCTGGATGTAATTACCAGCGAAACGTCGTACTCAAATTCTAAAAGTTGTGGATTCACGCTTCAAACACACCGGTGGGCTGAAGAAGTGACTAATTGGTATTTTGTTAACGTGACACATTTTGACTGATTGGCCGTGTCCGGTGGTGGAGGGTTGCGACACGTAATTACGCGATCTCACCCAGAAACCTTTATTATGAATAATACTGGTCGCGAAAGCCCACGTGTTAAACTTCTCACCATCACCACCCTGTGAATCCACTTGGCCCCTTGGTGCCCTACCATGCCACGCAATGGGCCCTCTATATCGGCCTATGCCATCCAGTGTGTTGTCCCTGTGACCCCAAACACCAGCCTCATGTCAGTCACCTAATGCTGCATAATCAATGCTGCCCCATAACAGTCTGTGTTGTCCCATACCATCCATGTGCCTCCCTTTGCCAACCTACATCACTTGGCACCACTCCCCCACGTTGCCTTGCACCAACTCTGCGCCACAAGTGTCACTTATGCTCACTTGAATGAACAAACGTTGCAGAAAACTGTTAAATGTTCTATTTCTTAATCAACCACCAAGGGCAGCAGATGGCAGTGCGGCAAAATCCATGCTTTTACCATGCTTCTATGCTCACACATCTATGCTCCTCACCTTCCTCAACCCGCACTGACCAGTGTAGTGAAGTATGGTCCAATAAACCCCATGACCCGCGGAGGGTGGGGGAGGGCTTCATCCAGCACACATTAACATTTTATGGCCTTTCACTTGAATAGTGCTCTATTAAACCAGCCACCATTCAACATGGTATGTATTTAATCGAGCCTTTGGGGGGATGATGGGTTCAATTGCCGTGGCAGAAATGTGGGTAACTTGTTTTATTTACGTGTAATGTTTTTAAAATTATAACTGAAGTGTCAATGTTTTCATTTTATTTGCTGTCGCTGTATTTCTGCAGTGTTCATGGGGTTGTAGTTGGTTGGAATATAATTGGCAGACCAATGAACATAATCTTGCGTGGTGCTGCAGTGCTCAACGATCAGAAAAACATCCGCGATTTCAAATTCCAGTTTGGGGATTGACTCTGCTCATCATTTTTCTGTGATTGGCAACATCAGTATCATATGGTTGTAAGTTCATAGTGGCCATCCAATAAGAATTGTAGAATGTGGATTTCCACCGTTGCCTTCAGGCCCCTGACAGATGAGCGCCACCCCTCGCTCATCTGAGCTGGATTACGCCGCGGCTTAACCCAAACGAACACGAAATCTGCGCGCAATTCATCTCGACGATCGACTCGCGTTATTTTTTTTCTCCCTCCCCCCTTCCCCTTTTGCCTCGTCAGACCCAGGACGGTCCCTACCAGAGGTTGCGCCCTTCGGCGTCGCTGGCGCCGGCGGGCGGGGGGTCTCCGGCGGGGAGGGCGGGCGGCGGAGGGAGCACGGGGTCGGGTCTCGGCAGCGTTGGCTCGACCCGTGTGCCCACGGTCACCGTCGTGGAGCCAGAGAGGGGTAATGGTGGCACCGCGGCAGGGAGGGGGGGCACCGTATTTGCGATGCATTTCGCACCTCCGATTAGCACGGTTGCCTACGTACGGTGCGAAATAAGTTCTGCATAACACATGCGTGCGGTTGAATGTCATTGTTTCGCGTGTTGCACAGCAGTAGTCTTATTGCGTTGTACGTATTTATATATTTTGGGTGGAGTGGTGGTACAATGGTTAGCGCGCGCTGCGCTTTTAACCCAGCAACCTGAGTTCGATTCCTGGCCATGGCTAAGATCAGTTGGCGAGTGATGTCAGAACCAGTCCTGCACCCCCTCCTCCCCCAGTACAGATGTATAGAAAACATGTTGAGCATTTGTCTTGAATTGTACGTGTGTTCCTATTAAAATGATATAATATTTATCTCATATCTATCGTAACGTTGCAAGTTACATTCCTGATTGGGGTTAAAATAATCCCCTTCAGTCCTCTGGGATCAATAAAATAAGTCCTGCTTGGAGGGAAGTCAGAAGTGGTACCCCTGTGAATAAACTTGCCCCCACCATAGCAATGTGGAGTTTATTCTGCTGGCAATCGGTTTCCGAACTTGAGATGAGTTGCCTTCCCAAGTTATTTTGTTTGGGGAAATTGCTGTGAATTCGCCTGTGAAAATATTTTACGAAAGGGGTTCTTGCCCATGCAGTCAAGGTTTCTGTCCGCAAAAGGAAGCCTTCTTGGCATTTCTTCACGTTTGTTAACAATCACTGCCCCTATTGCTTCCCCAAGTAGTGACATTGGAGGGTTTCACAATTCCGTTGCCTTGTCACCGTGGAACTGTGAGTGACCAAGCGGTCGCTGCTGTGCCACAGGCGATTCGGGCGAGGAGGACAGCCAGACGGAGGGAGACAAGGGCAAGAACAAGTTGTCGGTGGTGCGGGATCGGCGCCGCCCACGGGAGAAGCGCAGGTCCACCGGCGTGTCCTTCATGAGCCCCGACGTGAGTGTGTGACTACCTGATGCCTCTGTCTCACTCGCTCACTAAGTCACTCGCTCACAAACAAATCGCCCACTTACTCGTCGCTCACTCGCTCACAAATTCGGTCATTCACTCGCATCGGTCACTCGCATCGGTCGCTCGCTAACAAATCACTCACTCGCATCGCTAGCTTACTATTCACTCACTCATTGGCTCGGTAACTAATAAGTCTCTGTTCCATGGATAGCATTTATAAGGGGAACCAAACAGCTGGTCACATCCACAGTGGCCCTCTGCTCGGCGTTGTCCCGAAGAGCTTACGTGCGCCATTAGTGCGCATTCGTGGTGGAGGTAGCTGCTGCCCATCTCAAGTCTCCTGTTGTGTGGGACTACCTCGCGTTGACCGTTCACACTGCCGACTAACTCCCCCTGGGCAAGTGCAGACTTGACACCTTCCTTTTCCCCCCTCTGCCTAAGACTCAGTAACTTTTAAAATCCAGTCTCTTCCTTGTTATTGTCGCTTGGCAAACTAGTCTTCCCTTGCCAATCCATACCCCCCTGCTCTCAAAGAATACCCATTTTATTTGTACAACAACAATAATAATGAATTCTCCCCTTTCACAAATATCGCCCACCTTTATAAGGCCTCTCGATACGCATTCTCCCTTGATTTTAGATGCGCTTACATCGGTATGCTTATAAATCCACATTGTGTTGCATTTATCACGATCGACCAGGGGGGGGGGGGGGGGGGGTATGAGTCATGCGTTGGCAGGAGGAAGACAGCCCCCGTCACTGCATTGGGCCGAGAAATGGGAAAATCGCCACCCGTTGTGTGCCAATTCAGTTGGTTCCTTTTAAATGGCGCAATGCACTTGGATGAATCAACATCCAGTTTCTGCAAGGCTTCTTGGGAAGCTTTAATCCCATAATCATGAAACAAAGGTTGCAGTATGAATTTAACTGAAGAAATAAACTATTTTAAAACATGTTCTTTAACAATGACATATTATTTGGGTTTTTCGGTAAAGCCACGTAGATGAAAAAAAAAATATCACGACGTTTGGATTGCAACACAAGCAATCGTCATCAGGTGAAAAAATATAGCGGGAGAGTTGCTGAGGTAGAACATTTTAATTTTTAATTTTTCTATCTACGTGGCTTTACCGAAAGACCCAAATAATATGAATTCCTACAGTCACGAAAGCCAAGATTTAATGACACATATATATGCAATTAAAGTGAACAGCAACTGGTTGAAATTGAAGGTTACTGGAGATGTGGTTGTTCATTATTTACCGAGGTTCTTTAACACACGAACAGGAAAATTCTTAAGAAAATTGGCCAATAATGCCTCTGCCGACTCTAATTTATCATTATTTTCAGAAATAATTGCCCTGCCCGCGTGGATTTTGTGCGACTAAATGATTCAATTAATAATCTGCAAGTTGCGTTTCCTTATATGGATAAATGATATTGGGAAACATTGGTCCAAAAGACCCATGCACTTATGGGGTTAATATAACTATGCTTTGATGGTTTAACGGGATTACATGCGTTGCCCGCTTGTTTAGATTTTTATTTTATTCCAATCATCATGAGATTATCCAAACTAATATGATGACGGTTTTAAATTGTATATCATGCACCTGTTAAAAAGGGGATTTTCATTTGTACTCATGCATGCATTGAAACATTTCCCATGTATTTTCTAGAAGTTGCAAATTGATAGCATTTTGTCTGCTAGAATCTTTGAAGGTGGTTCTTCTTGGGCTAGCTTTTTTGCCCGTCCAAGGACGGGTGTATATTGCAGTAAATCTGAAATATTCAATCGAAAAATTGTTCAGCTCATGATTATTAATGAGGGGGAGTGGGTTGCCCCATGAGAAGTGACGTCACCCGCCAATGGTTATTGGGGAGGGGTGCGGAATGTGGAGTGCGCGACCTTCTTGTGCGTTCGTGTAAATTGCCACGCGGGCATGAATATTAATGAGGGGGGGAGGCTCTTTTGCAGTGATGTCACGCACGGATGTTGCGCTGTGCTGCGTAGATTAATTTTTTTACCGTCACTTTCTGTAAAGAAATTTCATATTTGAAGTGACTTTGCGTAGTAAATGATTTAATTCAGCTCGACTTTCCTCTGCGGTCGTGTAAAAATCCACCCACTCATGAATATTAATGAGGGGGGTGGGCCGAATGTGGAGTGACGTCACGTGGGGGGGGGGGGCTCATGTGGAGTGACATCACGCGCCGGGACGGACAGATAACTGCTATTATTGGAACCCACGAGCCTCTTTTTAGCAGCTGTTTGGCCATGCGAACAGAGAAGCTGGGTCTAGTGGCCACATTGCTCTCAGAGTAATTTGTGCATAACAATAAGAGGAAGTCCAGGAGCATTGTAACATGGACCGGGAAATAACAGGCACAGCTTCTCTGAGCTCCTTCAAACTTTTTTTTTCAATCAAATAAATCTGAAAGTGTAAAAGAAGTTAGAAGGATCTTTGATGAGCATTTCAAACAACTGTTAGCTGTTGCCACACTCTTTCACTCGCCATCATACGGAGAGGCAATGAAACATGAAATGCCTGGCTTTGAGCGAGGGGTGGAGCTGTCCTCATATCTGTTAGCCACCCTGCTCCACGATGGCACCAGGGAAAGTTCCACATTTGCATGGTGGAGGTCAGTCTCTTCCTCACAGCAACCGCTGTTAACGTCCCGCAAAATTGTGCTCATTTTTTCGATCCTGGAGATGTGATATCCTGCGTTGACCCTTGACTTGGATCTGAACACGCAGCATTTCAATTGTTGTCAAGTGCCTACGAGTACAGTGCCAGCCAGCCGCATAACAAAAAAATAACAAGCGTAAAGGACATTTAAATTGTTACAAGGGAATGTGCGTGCAGTTGAGCAGACTTTTGTAATCATGCAAACCCCTTTCACACAAGGCTGCCCTTTGTTAGTGGTAAACAGGCTGCAGCCAGTTATGTAAACTTGTTAAGGAGTATATTGTACACATCCCGTGGTAAGAATTGAATTAATGAGGGGTGACCCAGTGGCTTGTTCTGTTCATAATTGCTGTGTCAGTGCTACTGAGCCAGTCCTGCTGGCACCCACCGGCTCAAATTCAGGCAACCGCAAATGATTTAACCAGAGACCCCCCCCCCCCCCAGTGTAGGGGAGTATGATATTCGAAGGGCTTTCTCATAATCTTCAAAGTTGGTCAAGTCCATGCAAGATGATCATGCAAACATAGTTCTTGTCCGCACCGGTGCCAAAATTGCATAATTGTAATAGTAATAATTGTATTCGTATAGTAGCACTTGTAAGCATTCAGAAGCATCTCGAGATGTTGTACAAGGAAATCATGAATACATAAACAGGAATATAAATTATTAAACATAATCAAGCCAACAAAAATCGGCTTTGGCAGATTGAGCGGCATTGCGCGACACGCCGTGGCACAAGCTGCGTTGCCACCACCGTAACTCCACGCAGGCGGGGGGGGAATTATAACTTGACGTGGAATGACTTCAGCAACAACGCCGATGATCATGATCAATGCAACGCAAGGAAAAACATGGATGGTGATCTATATGGCGATGGCAGTGCAGCTTGTTGCTAAAAATTAAAGGATAACATTATCAGGAAGTAACCATTCAGTAACTCGTCATTGTACTATAATGTTTCGGTCATTCTGGTTCCAATGAAATTGCACTTGTCCATATTTTTTTTTTAATCCAATTAGTTTGGCCATATATTTTTTATCCAATTAGTAGCTTGTGCACTCACATACATACGCATGCGCATTTAACAAAGCCATGATCTGTCCACTGTGGATGAAGGCCTCGCCATGCTGTCGCCACTCCTCAAGCGTCACCTGACACAAAATCCGTTGATTTCTGTGGAAATCTCATCACTCCCCATCTCCACGGTGCTAACATTCCTGTTGGACTCGTCGCTTCGTTCAGCTGCCACTCCGCCGTTAGTTTGATCGCCCGGCGTCACGCCTGCCGTTTATTTAGGTCGTCCAAAATGTGTTAATTTGCTCAGACACCAAGTGGCATTTGCTCGATGGCTTTGGTCATGCCCAGGCACATGCCGTCTCGTTCCAGCAGCGGGTTTTTTGTCCCATGATGACATGCCTCCCTCTGCTGGGCACGCTCTGTACTGATGGGTGCAAGGTGCCCCCCCCCCCATCTCCTTGTAAATCACGTTGCGCCGTGCCGAGCGACCGTTAAGCCCACGCAGTGATTTAATGTGAACGGTTCTCTTAGATTGCCTCTGCAATGAAGGCGCTCCATTATCGCGGCGCTAATGAACGTAATTGGCTTTCGTGATTGTTTTAACCTTTACGTGCCGCTCGGCGCGTTGAACGGCACATTTTCGCGTCGGAAACGCCAAAGTCGGTGATGCACACCATTCCCTTGTGGACGTTCTGAGGCAGCCAACTCTGATGCTGTTAAAGTGGTGGAAATTCCACGTTCCTGTGACTGGGCCATAGTTGATTTTAGATTCGCTCTGTTGACCAAGTGCTATTCACTTTTTTGACAATAGAGGTATGATATTCTGAGTTTACCCTGAAACGGCATTTAAACTCCTGTTAATTGTTGGTTGAGAATGTGCCATAATACCACCCAGCAAGAGTATTGCAAGATGTGTATCTTTGTAATTTTTTATTCTTAGAGGAATTGGAGATGTTTGAAAAATGTGGTCTCGGTGACCTTCAGAAGTCTACTGAAGAGTGACATTCACTGTTTGAAATAGGTTATTTGAAAAAGAAAAGTGTACGCATGAACATTAAAATTTAAAGGTGGCGGCAATTCCCTCTGAGACCATGGCATCGCAATTTTAAACCAATCGGTGAATTAACATTTAGTTTTCATGATCAATGTTGTCTGCATTGTAGCAAAAAAGTGGTGTTCATTTTACCGTCCCCTGAAAAAATGAAAATGCAGATAGGCCTATTTATTTATTGTGTTGTCTGCATGTGTGCATCTGTGTGTAATTCTCTCTGTATCTGTGTGTGGGCTGTTTCTTCAGTCTCAGAGCGACGAAAATGACCACGATCTGACGGATGAAGAAGAAGAAGAGAGTGAAGAGGTGGAAAAGGAAGTGAAAGAGGTGCGTCCAAAGGTGCTAGCACGTTCCCCTGAACACGCTTCACACACTATTCCTTTACTTACGTTGCTCCACAGTTCCCGCCGATCTCTTCAAAGTGCTGCCGCTGTTGCGCCTACCACAGTGATGATACTTCGTTTTATCAGTACCGGAGATATGATGTGCTTAGCTGACCCTCTGAGCAGGTCTTAGAGGGTCAGCTGTGTTGCAGTCGAAACGTCGTGATCATATTATTGTTTTATATTTTTTATCATTGTATTATTTCCCTTCTACGTGACTTTGCCGAAAGAATCAAGAATATGCTTGTGTAACTAAGATATGGACTGTACAACATCTATACCGTCATAGGATGCCCATGAAATCGAGGCTAGCACCTCCATTGGGAACCTTCCTGCTGAAATAAATAAATGCAATCTATCTTTGGGGATTGAGTTATCACTTGGAAGGCCTCGCAACACCAGGCGCATAGGTCTGCCACTCAGACATCACGAGCAACCATTTGACTTGTCAAATCTCAAGTGATTCATTGAGATATGCGTCCGAGTTAAGTACGTAATTGCCTCTGCCCGTGGTTCAAACTCGAGTGCCAGCGTACCCATTTAAAAGTCTGGCACTCAAGAGGCCCCAATAATTAACTTTCGCCTTGCCAATAATCCAATTTGTTAAGGTGAAAGAGCCTATCGCGAGACATTGGTGTATTTTGTGTTCGGCGCGAGCGCCAGACTGGGTCTTGCGTCCCACATTCAAAACAGGGGTGTAAACTTTTAACGTCTGGGATTGCCACCGCCGCTGGTGTTTACGCCCGGTAGCAGAGTCGATCGTCGTGTTTATGAAGCCAAGTCTGAAATTACTTTCACGGTTTTAAATGAAACGGGCACAAAGCCTACTCTTCTGCCCTCCCCGCCCCTCGGCATTAAATGGACCGTGCTTCTCAGCATGCAGTCCTTAAGCGATGCAGGAAAGGCACATCCCTGTGTTGGTGTAGGGATGCAAAGCCCAGTCTGGCATGATGACACAAGGAACCAGGGTCGTCCTTGCAAAAGAGGCAATGTTGTTTCATTAGTCTCAATGGGTTTTTCATTGTTCATCTCGTGGTGAAATTAAGGGTGCGCGCGTACGTACGTGACTGTGTTAATAGGGGTGGTGGCAGCGTGCGACTGCTGTAAGATTGGCGAGTGAGCGGGCACAGTGCGCAAATGGCTCGTGCCATGGCACCAACCTCGATGCGTGGGGCGAGCTCACGTGCATTACTCTGCTGCAGTGTAAAGGTTGCCAAAATGCAAGGTGACTGAGTGAGTTGCCCAGCGATACTTAACCTCGGAACATTTCACTCGTCAGAGCCATCCTGTACACATTTTTAAGTAGTTTTCAAAATGTTTCAATGCTCAAATGTAGTTGGAATGGCCTTCTTATTTGTTCTGGTTCTCAACCAGTGGTCAAAATGCTTTCTGCCTATAGTTGGGGGAAAAATCTCTCTGTTGAACTACCACTGTTGACTTACAAGTAGTCCTCATTTTTCAACCCCAAAGCGATGATAATTGACCATCTGAAGATAATTTTAACTTACAAACGTACCATTTGTGGGTTGCGTGCTCTAATTATCGTTCCATGGGTCCAGATATATTGCTAAATCCTCCTAATTGTAATTGACCTGCGGTTGGTCAGAAACAGCCTCAATCGGGTCTCAAGATTATTTTAGGAGTAACCCTGCTTGCGATGTTTATTCAGTTCCTCGTGAGACGAAACTGGAAGAAAAAAAAACCTGCACATGAATGGCTAACTCTGAAAAACCCTCATGCTCACAGATAGGCCTGGTTTGTGTCATGATTAGTACTCGCAATCTGAAGGTTTTGAGTTCACATCTTTTCTGCAGACGTGATCATTTCCCTGCGGGTCAACAGAGGGGGGGGGGGGGGGAGGGAAACTCTTTGTCAGAGGTTGACGGTGATCATCCTGTGCATAGATTGGCCCCTGTCGTAACAATGTGAACGTTTTCACAACCATCTTAAAGTTGTTTCGAGTTGAACACCTCTGCAGTGCTATTTTATGCATAGAGAATTGTTGAATAGACAGATCAGCTGCCTACTTGTACTCCATCTACTTCCCATCATGTTGGGAATCCTCCAGAGGCAGTTGTCATTAACATACAAACCACTGCTTACCAGATCATGACATTTACACCCAGTTAATTTAATATAATCACTTGCAATTTTTTATGACTTTGATGACAGATGTGACGTATTTATTTTCTGTAATTTTCGAGGGAAGGGTGTAGCTGTTGCGCAAGTCTCTGAGCGTAGTGCCCAATGAGTTTGGTGGGCTAAGTTAAATTCCTGGCCACGGCTAACATCATTGGCGAGTGATATCTCAAAACCAGTCTTGGAACTCCATTCACCCAATCTGTACTGACCAGTTCCGTGAAGTATGGTGAAGAAAAATCCCGGTGACCCACGGTTGGCTACGTGCGGCGTGAAAGAAGTTCAACATACGTACACACATGGCATTGGACTGCCTTGAGCAATGGATTGACCAAGGGGCTGTGAATGATTATTTTTTATTTTTAGCAAAAAGGATTTGCTCTGTCCCACTATGGTTTGATGTAAAGTTAAACCAGATGTGTGACGACACTGCCTCAGATTTACTGCCATATTTGGTGTTTTTTGCCCAGCACTCCTGTTTGGTCAGAGATTTTCGTCTTAATTATATTTCATCTTATTTAAAGACACGCGCAATGTGTACCAATGCCGTTCCCATGATTGGGCATTATTATCACAGTGGTCGTTGACGGTGAGCTGCATTATCTTTCTGTATAATTCCATCTTCCAAAATCTTTTCAGCTGTGTCGCAGGTTTGTTAGCTAGAACCTCGGCGCTAGGGAGTTTCTAGTTTTTTTCAGCAGCGTGTTAGGCACGAAGACTGGACACCCCGGAGCCTTAAGATTCGTTTTTTAGAAACTCAATGGGATGACCGTTATAAGGCATGAGACTATACACCGGTGGAGCAGTTGTCAGGAGGAAGTGAGTGTGTCGGTAATCGACGACTCTGTGTGTTTGGTTATGAATGTGCGTAATGTGTCGGGAGTTTTGAGAAGTAGGTCAAGTGAGATGTCTTGCTTTAGGAGGGCAGGTTTTTTTGATGGACTATATAAAAACGCTTGGGAGGAATAAAATCATACCTTAAGTATAAAGATAGCGGTGCCTGGGTCCGAGAGTATTTATCTGCATTATTGTGTTGGTCAAAGAGCTGGACTGATAAAACAACTACAAAGGACGCTTTTGGTCTTTTACGTACACGTGAATGCAGAGATTGCTCGAAATTCAATGCAGGGTATGATTCGAAATGGTACGTGGCAGGAATTGTAGATTTAGTGAGGAAAGGTTGGTTGCCATCGATGGGACACGTGTGTGCAGCATGCAGGAGCAAAGGCTAAAGAGACAGACGGGCATTGGTGTGGGCATTCAGAGGGTGGCACATATAGGGGTAAACTTATAGCTAGATGGTGGCATGCTGTAGATGTGGGACCTTATAGCTCAAGCAGTTGTGACCTTCATCAGTTGTGGGATCTGGTTGAAGGACTTAATTGCAACATGTGGTGGCATTAGCAGCATTGTGTTTGATGACATTTTGTTTTTACCTTGGCCAATGCTTGTACGATGGTGTGAAGCATCATTGTAACGGATCACTGGTGATGATCGCGTATTCACGTTGGCATCCGATAGCTTTTAATGAAGTACCATGCGTAACCACATTTGTCTTCTTAGTTCCGATGTTTTGACTGCTAATTCTAAGCATTGCATTGCAGGCTTGGTACATGCCGTACTGAGTTCAGCCCTGCCCTTGGGAGAGAATGATGCAGAGGGTGCATTGTTTATAGTCTACGAATCGGCCGTCCCAACAGCAGAAAAGGCTCTTGGTGCCTCATCCTGTGTAGAGGAGTAATCTCTCGCTGAGGCGAGGCAGCGTGCTTGGGTCTCATTCTAGACAACCCCATCCAAATGCAAATCCTGATGTTGCCTGATGGCTTGCATCCATTAATGTTTAATTTTCCACGCACCGATAACATTTTTTAAAATTAAAACTACTCTGAATCGTAGCATCTGTGCAACAGTTCCACGGGCCACTCCCACGACCTTGCATGTACCACCAGTTGTCCGTGAACCACGAGTTGGGAACTAATGTTTTAAGCGGAGTTGGTGATTCGAATGTCACTGCTGCCAGGTGGTCTATGAGGAAACTTACAAAAGTCTGTTGGATAGTGGACATAGAAACACCGCGACTGGAGATGGAAATAAAAATAGTCTGATGTGACGACTTGCCAAAAGAAAGGACATTTAAAAGTGTCGGTGTCATTTAAAGACCGATTGTGAAACTTGCCTACGATCAGTTCATAACATTTTTGCCATAAACCCCGTGGATATCACAGGAAGAAATTTCTAAGTGGAGACACGGTACTGTGTATTATATTTATCTATAGACTGAGTTTAATTAGTTGGGAAGTAATTACCCAGGCCAAGAGGGATCACTGGAGGAGAACCACGCCCATAACTCATCTCGCCAATTTTGACGAATTTTTGCAAAACTGGTTTTACCCAACCAGTTTTGATGACCACATGGCCCATGAGCTTCAATTTTAGATCAACTCATCCACCCAGGCCCTATATGGAGTGAGATCTCGCAGTACAAACATTTTGCAACGGTATTGTATTTGTTTTAAATATAAAAAGCTCTCCTGCAACTATAGCCACTTAATAAAACATCTCTATAGGCTGACTTGTTTACAATAATATTGAATGTATTTTAATACTTTTTGAGCTGCCTGTCACTTTGGGAACGTTATCGCCCGTGAAAAGCCACTTGTTCCCCTGCCCACCCAACAATGTTTCCAACTCGTGGCCATGCAGCTGTGAGATTTGGAAGACACGTGGTGGAACCGTGGTGAAGCCGTGACATTCACGTTGCTCACCCCGTAGAGCTTAGGAGTCTGCAGGGCTTGGCAGGGTGAAATTAATACTTCTTGATGCAGTTGCAAACCTGTTTTGCTGACCGCATGGAGCTGTCAAGACTCAAGACGGCTCGGGCTATTTTCCATTCAGATCTTAAGTACGTGTGCAATTTGCCACAAAGTAAAACAAAACAATATAATATTTTCTGTGTGTAGCGTAGCTCTGCGGTATTTGTAGCTTTGTTGCTGGGACACGTCTTTTTTTTTTCCAGCTGACTGTTGAATTTTTTGTCAATCATTTTTATTATTTTCGTAAAAGTCAAATTCGTAATTGCTGATCGCACTGTTGACACGCTCGCTTGTGTGCAATTTTCCTTGGGGTTTGGCAAGAAACCATTCCACACTGCGGATAGGGTTTCTCTTACAGTCTACCATCGCATGACGTCTGTTAGCTTGCTTTAGCTCTTTACTCTGGAGGCTTCTCGCTTTTGTCGCGAGCATTTTTGAGGGTGTGTGCTCTGCGTGTGTAGGCGTTGGCGGCGGTGTGGCGATTTGGGGCCCAGTCCCAACAAGGCGCAGCTCTTTGATCAGGAAATAGGTGTGCGCAGTGTCGTGGCGTCGGTCTGCTGTTGTGTCGTGTGTCTCATCGTGTGAGCTCCAAGCGCCATGAGGAGCATCTTTCACAGGTGACTGACTGCTCGTAGTATCCAAGTTGCACGCTGGCAGTGCCATTTCGTAAAAAGATGCCACACATACCCGATTGAAGAAACTCAAGCGTGTCTCGTATCGGGTTCCTGTGTCTCGGTAAAGTTCTTAAATGTGAGCCTTGTTTACAGTATGAGGAACATGCCGCCCTTTGTGATAGTTTGCGTGTTGTGGCCTAGGCCTTGTGGAGGTGTTCAATTGCTGTTTGTTTCTCTGCTTGTCACTGTTTGTATATATATGGATAGTGTGGTGAGGTCGGAGTGCGCGACTCGTAATCAGAAGGTCAATTCCCACACCGGCTACAAGAGCCTGTCATTCCTCAGGGCTCGAGTAAATGAGTTACGTTTTTGGAAGTCAGCAATGACTTTCATTTGGATAAGCTGACCTCTGGCATCAATGTGGAATTTCCCCCACTGGCTCAGAACCGCCGATGGAAATGACTGCTCCTGAATGACTCCTTCGAATTTCTTTATTGGATGCCAACCCTTTTTGAGCTGTGTATGCGAACATACGCTGTGTAAAGGGAATACTTTACACCGTTGAATGTATGCCGCCTTTCGAGATTGGGCCCTTGGCATCCCCCCCCACTCACCGCTGTGCCCCCCCCCCCCCACTGTCTAGCTACATAGGCTGCAGATGGCGCTGCTGAGCTATTGACTTTAAGGAAGACTAAAGGATGAAGCCACCGACTTAAATATTTTGAAATACAGTAACTTGTAATTTTCCAGTACAGGGAGAAACCGTAAAGGATAATCCAGAAGAAAATTAATGTGACGTGTCTAAGAGAAGAATGCCTTTAGAAAGATGCCTTGGTTTTTAAATTATATATACACAGTCAATTCAGAGTGTCTCCTGCTCAAACAAACATTGGGCTGATGATCATCTCTGTAGACAAATGTTTAAAATCCCACGTTCATACGGCACAGGCCGGTATCTCTTCTGGATGACAGCTGTTGACGTAGAATGATATTCATCGACCCTGGAGGAGATGATATGTTGAGTCAACCCCGAGCCGAACTTTTGAGTTTCTGGTTGTGACGTGAGCACTCCATGTACATTCCGCCCCTGCCACCGGAGTGACGCAATCATTGAATACGTGTACCCTACGTGAAAGGGTATAAATTACCTATTAAGGTAAATATATGTACACAGCTACTATATTACATGCTCGCCCGCACACGCGTTGTGTGTGGGCCCGTGCCAAAACGTGCATAAGTGCCTGCATGATGTAAAAATAAATATATCCGTGAACTCTACTGCAGTGTCCTTCAGAGGTGTGTGCAGGATGCACTTGAGGGATGGATTGTTCTTTTTCAGAGCCATCATTGTCCTGTCTTGCTCTGTGTGATGAAGGTGCTTATTCTCGGTAAAGTACGGCTTCAGCAACCTTTATAAGATGGTTTACAGTTATCACGGTGGGGACCCAAGCGTTTCTAGATGGGTTACTTCCGTTGCTTGTAAAATGCGAATACAGTAAACGTCTGTGCTTATACTGAGTTAATTTGATAGTGAACAGAATCCCCCGGGAATGTTTCGCAAAGCGGAGAGAGCTTTGATGCTACCATTGCAACTGCCTTGTTTAGTTTTAAGTCCAAGCACAAGCAGAGGTTTTGTTGGCAGGCATCGTTACATGGTTGCTGCTGAATGCTGGCGTGCGTTCGGTGTGTGCAGTTAAAAGCTTAGGATTTGTTTGCTTGTAAGTCAATTAAGGTGCTCTGGTAGAAAGTATGGAATACATCAACTGGATTTTTTTTTCAGATCGTTAAAGCTACTGATTACAGCTGGATGTAATCTGTTTTCTCTCTCCAAAGGGTGGTATATTTCAAGCATTGTTGGATAGAATGTTTAATTTTATTTTCAAAACGTACCCTATAATCTCCTTTTCAGAAATTCATTGCAACGGTCTCAAAATGTCAAAAGGAATGTAGTTGATAAAAGTAAATGATGTAAGAATTGAATGAAACTGAATACGTTTATTTTATCCAGGAGAGCCTCACCTAGTCTCTCTAGACTGTAATTTTTCAGGAGGGTTTTACATTGGAGTCTTTGTCCAGTTCGTGAATGGAAACCCACACATACCAATCCATTAATTCCCCTTTTTATAACCAGACGAGGGCTTGATGAGACCAAGTCTGAGTATTCGGCAACCTGCTCATGCAGAGTAAAACTCTCAAACAACTACACGGACGCTACAGGAACCCACTTGCTCTACTGCCATCGGCTCGCCATGTCTCAGCCCAGCCGCAACGGAGTTGTAATAGGCTTGCGCTGTCGCGCCTAACCGTTTTGAATTATTCGGTTTATTGTCGGTGGCTTTTCGCAGCAATGGTTGCGAACATTAGAAACCCGTCCAGCCTTGCGAGGTTGCAGTGGGGTGGGGGAGCGCTGGAGGAGATGAGGTGTTGGTATGCTCGTGAAGAACTTGAGAGTGATTTAAATGAGGATTTGTTTTACAAGCAGCGGCGGCACTGAATTCTGGTGATAGGAAAGTGCTTCAATCAAAACTGTTCACTCAGCAGAAACATTTAAGTACTTTTTGAGTAAAAAGCCCATGACATTTTTTTTATCAGAAAGGTAATAATAGAGGGTCTTGAAAATAAACTTTTGCATTAATGTAAATCCGGCAGATTACGACTCACTTCTCCGCCGTAATTGACTGTAATCCTGAAGCTGACATCACATTATTGTAGTTGAAATAGCCGTGCTGAATTGCACTCCAAAAGTTAGACGCTCGCTCCTTGTGGCATTAGCGAAAGGCCATGCCCAGGCAAGCCGGACGCGTAGGGCACGCACGCAACCCAAACTGAAAAGTTCCAGCTGAATCCGTGGCTCTTTCAGCTACCCCCCCCCCCCCCCCGCACTGTCATGGGGCTTATCGGAGAGAGGCCCTGTGAAGTGCTGGGCCATGACACGTTTTGTCGCGCTTAATTGCTCCGTTGGCAACTACCACCAACAACCATCACGATCACCACCACCACCACACACCACATGGGCCGCCACTCCCCCGCATTAGGTAATGGCTGCTTCATGTCTCGGGCATTGTTCTTGCCGCCCTTTGCCTTAAATGGCCAGAGGCGCCGTCACGGAGCACAATGGGCGGGTTCGGGTCACCCGTGTTGCAGGCAGGCTCTGGCAGCAGGTGACGCGGCGGAGGGAATTGAAATGGCGAAAGGTTTTTTTTTCTTCGTTCCTTAATGTCACCGTGACTGTGACAGGTATAGGGTTATCGAAGGATTACGTGTAAAGAAAGGCATTTTTTTTTGGTATATAGCGATCCCTTTACCCGAGGGGCGCAAGCGATCGTGTGTTGTCCTGCTATCGCCAAGGTAAAAAAAGATATAATAATAACAACAACAACACTATGTGCTATCACTGTCTCTCTGTTGTCCATATCTGTTCAGAAATCTGCTTTTCGCGTTTTGTCACGTTGTTGCTTTGAGAGAAAAAAAACACAAACTTTCGGCGCTTGCGCGGGCTCGCACGTGCGCGCGTGTGTGTGTACGTTGTGCCTAGTGTCGTGTAGCGGTTAGCACGCTGTGCTCACAACCCGGCGTCCCGGTTTCGACTCCCGCTCACGGCCAACACCAGTGACGATTATCTGAACCGGTTCTGGGCCTCCTAGGGCAAACTCTGCCTCAAATGAGTACCTGGTGCGGTGTGTAAACATCTTCACTAGGGAGGTGCTCCCTAACAGCACTTGGCCCAACAGTTTGTTAAGGCTGTACAGGGGATATTTTTGTGCTCGGGTTCATATGTCTGTGTACTTCCGTGCGTCTAAACCGTGTACGTGCTCGCCAAGAGGAATGTGTCCTTTGTTCAAAGTTGTCACGAGTCGATCCCTCTTGAGTCGTCTACAACGGGAGGTCCACATGGGTTCTCACCGTCTGCGCTGTCAGATCCCTTGGACTGCGTTGTTACAGTGTGGCCTTGTTAAAACAGCGCCGTTAATTTTATGCTTGTTTTCACATGGAACTGTATATCACCTAACGCGTACGTTTTTATCCCGTCTTGTTTTGCAGCCCGACAAAACCACAAGGTACGTTTCAATTTTCTTAATTCATTTCTTACTTGGCAGTAGTTACGATTTTCTAAACTTGGAACGATGCTGCTTCATTAAAAGTTGAAATTTTTTGCCACGAAGAGATGCTTCGCCAATCAGTGTGAAATTGTTTTGATTTTGTTAAAATTACAATTTCCATACTCTCTGGGTCTTTCGGTAAAGTCACATAGTTAGAAAAATCATAAAAAATCACGAAGTTTCGATCGCAACACAAGCAATCGTCCTCGGGTAAAAAAAAAAATTTCACCTGAGGACGATTGCTTTTTCTATCTACGTGACTTTACCGAAAGACCCAAAGAGTATGAATTCCTGCAGTCACGAAATCAATAAGTCAAGATTACAATTGCTGTTTACTATGCTTATGTAGAACTGGCACACCGTGGGGTTTGCCACTTTGCAGGAATTTGATTTACAATTGCAACATTTGATCGAATAAGAATGCGAGATCAAACATTCGCTTTGGAAATATATATCGTGCTGTATTCAAATCGGAACACCTTTTGTCCAACTTTTTCTTGTGTTCTAAATAGTTTTCAGTCTTAAAGGATATGGGGAGCCACTGTGTGGCTTGATGCTTTAGTTTCAGGACACCCAAGTTTATGGCCAAGACACATGAGAGGAGACTTGTGAATGTTTCACAGCCAGTCCGAGCCCATGAATTATGTATTCATCATTATTGTTATCCCTGTGGGAGTAAGTGTCGCGGCAACCCGCATCAATTAATTTGCCCCTTTTCGAAATTAACTTTTGCGCATCTCTGCTAAGCAGTAAAAAAAGTATCTTCATTATAATTCACCACAGTGGCCTGAAATCTATTGTTCCTATCGCTTGGAATCAAACCTCAAGCGACCAAGCCTGTTTGTGCGGGAGGGGGGAGTGGGTGTTGTGGGGGAGTGTCGTGTTTCTGTGGTAATTGTTCACCGTGGCTCTCCGGCACCGCGTTTGCTCGTTTGCACCATGGTTTGTGTGACCCCCCCACCCCACCTCTGCCTGCTGTGCCCCCATTGTAGTTCCATCCTCCACTCGGGCCCTATCCCCGTCCGTCGCCCTCCCTGGCCTGGCCTGTTGGGCAGTGGGTTGTAAGTGGTTTGAGCCTGGGATAAACGAGTCCTTTTTATTACCTTTTCTGCCGCTTTCCTGACCCCCCCCACCTCTTACAAATCGATCCAGCGTTCTGTCACAGCCTTTGAGAGGGGCTGTGTTAGCCCAGGCGCTGGGCCAATTAGCAGTTTACCTTCCACAAAGGGGCATCCATCCAGTCCCATCTGCTATGTTGGGCGAAGTAAAAAAAAAATGAAGCCTCAATTTTTTGAAGGGGCTTTGGAAGGCTTTTGCTTATTGTGTTTGGCATTGATGCCCAGCACCATAAAAGAGCACAAGATGCATTTGTTGTTTATCCAGGCACCCCAAAGCACCCGTAGACGTTATTGCAACCTGCAATAATTCACTCGTGAGATAAGCAAGCGTTGTAAATTAAAACACAACTGCAAAAAAATACCTTGGAAGGTAAACTGTTTTGAGCTTGCTGACGTTTTTTATGTCAGACCCTGCCATTGCTTTTCGAGGACAGGCTTTTGGGCTGTCTGTGCTGCTGGCGTTACCGCCAATGGAAATTCCCCGGGGCCAGGCAGCAGTGCGCACAGCGCACAGACAGCGTCGTTACGACTTATCCATAGCAGCAGCTCTTTGCTTATGCTCTATAAAGGATCAGCATTTCGTCTTCCTCTCCGCAGGAGCGTAATTGGTCATGGAATGGAACTTTGATTTTGTGTTTTTTTAAAGCATCCGTAGACATGCAGACTCGGGCTGTTTTGCTTTGAGGATTTTGCAAGCGTTTGAATTCCAGACATCTCGTTATATTTGACGATTCTCTTACCAATTACCGCGAGTGGAAGACGTCCGTGATAACGGTGATGGTGAATTAACCCTGGGGAGAAGAATAAAACGGGCCTCGCAAATGAAACGTGGGTCTTGTGGTAATAATGACATGAAATGCATTTGGGTTTGTTTGCAACAACGAAAACCAAATAACAAAATGCAACCCCTACAAATGCATTTGAGCCGCTTTATTGTTTACATGATCAAAATGAGTAGCGATGGCTGTTTTCTTTAAACTTCTGAATTGGTTAAACTGGTGCTTAAGCTGGTATTTGCAATGAATATATCGTTAATGGGAAGAACACTTTATTCAGCTTCATTACTCAATCCTGAACCATTGTCTCACATGAAGAGGTTGTTCGGGACAGATGAGCATCGCACGTAAAAACTGGGTTTACACTCATTGAAAAACCGAAGATCGCAATGTGTCAATTTGATTGGCTGCCGTAAAACTGATTATTATTTTTGCCTTGTATCACATGGTCCTTTGGCCTGTCCTACAATGGGTGGAGCTATGTGAGAGACTTCATCAGATATAATGCATTCACTTTGTTGACATCATGAGTCCTGATAACTTTTCCTACAGCGTACTGCAGCTAACGCTGCTCGATTTAATCGGTCAATCAAAGGATCGTTGGGGCCTGCCGTGGATGCGAATGGCAGCTACCAAATTGAATTGGGTCAACGGAAACCCAAACGAGCTGCTGCAGTTGGTTAAAACGAATACAAATCTCGTGACGTTTTTAACTAATTGGGACCAGAAACGCTCATAGATGAAAGTGTGGATTGGATCAAAATTGATGTAGATGAACTGTGATTACCCTTTGTTGGGAGAAAAATTCCACATCAAAAGGGCATCACTTGGGTAATAACTCAGGGCTAAACATAGCTACAGACCTTAACTCGAAATTGTACAAGTTTGTGTGTTCCGAATGAGAAAAACACAAGAGGTTTTTCTTTAATCTAAATGTGCCTTGAACGGCATTTCAGAGGCATCCGTTACCAACATGCTCGCAGCGATCAACCATTGAGTCCAAATAATTGGTGCACAATCATTGCATCCACACAACATCATTATAACCACACCACATCATCGCATCCACATGTGCGCAACCACATAACGCGAACGCATGCACGCACACATACACACACTCGCATGTCACACCTCCTGGAATGCATGCACACTCACGCACACTTGCACGCAGGTTCAACACAGTAGCGACGAGCACGAGCCTCTCGGAGAACTACAGCGAACGGTACGCAGATCGGATGAGAAGCACAACGTCAATCCGGCCTGGGCGGCCCGGGCCCACCTTGGCCCCCGCCCCGCAGCCCACGGAGCTACCGGACACAAAGGACTACCGCAAGGTAACGGCCAAATCACGATGCAAACAGTACACCACGCACTGTCTATTGTTACTACACCGCATGCTGTCGACAGGACACCACTGTCCGCTGTTGGTACACTGCCTCCCCCTATCTAAACGTCAATCACACCGTACTCCAGAGGTCGCAATCGGGTACCCGATACCCGGACCCTACCCGATACCCGGCTACCCGTACCCAGCCGGGTACCCGTTTGCGACCCTGGTGTGGACGGGTACGGGTACGGGTAGGCCGTGAGTCACTGGTGAGTAACCGTTTGTCATTCATTTCGGGTAGGGTACGGGTAGGGAACGGGTACCCGTACCCGGCCGGGTACAGGTACCCATTTGTGACCCTGGTGCGGCCGGGTACGGGTAAGGAATCAAAACCCGTTTGCGACCTCTGCCGTACTCTAAATATCAATCGGAAACACCTCACACTGCATCTACCGAATGCACCCACACACCACAGTGCATCGATGACAAGTGGTTGTGCATTACCCTGGCACTTTTTTGGTTTGTTTACACATCTTTTAAAATCGAGATTTTATTTTATCCTCGGATTCCCTTAAAAAATCAACTTGTATTTCCCAGTGGAGTTTTACCCCATTGAAATACTCAATTCCAGACTGATTGATGTTATCTTAATAATGTCCTTTCTTTCGTGCAAAAAAATACCTTGCTGAGCTTTAAGACTTGTCCATGAGGGTCTTGCATTGGTCCACACGGATGGCTCTGGAGCCAACACGCTGCGCCGCCATCACATTCCCACTGTGTTAGCCAAGCGGTGTGGCAAACCTCGGAGCCCGTAATGATTTCGGTGTATTCCATCAAACCTCGCTACAACGAGCCCAGCGAGGCCTTCGCTTGCGGCCCGTCAATTGCGTTGGACCCTGACCCCCGCCCCCCCCACCGTGTCTCCCTTCCCCGTTCGTAGCTGTATGAGCAGATGAGGAAGGACAATGAAGAGATGAGGAAGAAGTTGCGGGATGCACAGCTGCAGCTGGCTGAGACCAAGGTGCAGCTGGAGAGGGTGACACAGGTGAGTGGAGGTGACGTGTCATCACTGAAGCAACACCCCTCCTCACACCCCTGCTCAGAGGACAGTGGCCAGTGGCACGACTTGTTGTGCCAGACTGGAAAATGCAAAAATATGTATGGGGTGGGTGGAAAGTGTCGAATATAGCCCTTCATCTCTACGAGTCAGGACGACCTGTGTAACCCTTTCCCATTCCGAGACGTCTGAAAGCTTTGCGGGGTGGGTCCTGTTCACCGCTGAATTTCAGAACGCGCAAGCAGTTAGCGTTACGTTTTATTTAGAGAGGCGTAGCGCCATTGTTTTTAAAGACATTGTACTCATCGCAGAGAACTGTCGCGCCCATAATACAGTTTTTTTTTGGGGTTAGATCGCGCAATATATAAATTGTGTCGTTAAAACCTGCCACCACCCGACACAGCCAACTAGTAAGGGTTGTCACGTAAACAGAATGTGGCCAATTCGTCACTAGTACAGCACACCGGTGTGTTGGAGAGCCAAGCCACAACATTTACAATCTGAGTACGATGTTTGACCAGTACTAACAACTAGCTTCATCAGGCGGCAGCCAGATTTGTGGAGAAGTCTGTTTCGTTCCTTATATAGAGGAATAGATGTGGTTACCACGCTTCTGTGCTCTAGCGCTCTTTCGCTCTTGCGCAAAGCGTGGTCACCACATCTACGCCTGATGATGTACATGTGTGTCATTGGGATGGAATTGGAAGAAAAACTGTTGACATACACGCACGTCATCGGAATGGGAAAGGGTTAATACAAACCTCTACATCTGTATGTTGAACTTCTCTTGCACCATACGTAGCCAACCGTGCGATTCTTGGGTGCTGGGGAATGATGATGATGATAATAGCTTTTGTCTTTATGGTTTGTTTGGAGTGGTAGGTTGATTTACATCTCAGAATTTAGCTGCTGGCTAGAGGATGTGACCATTTAATGTTTTTTTCCACGAGATAGGTGGGAACATGACTAGAGGGAAGATTGCACTGGCCAGATGTGCTGTAGGAATAGTGTTCAGGATAATTACGTAGCTTTGACAGGTTGTTGGACGAAACAAAAAAATCTGAAGTGTCTGTTCATTGCTAAAATATATAAACATTTCACTCATTGGCCACTTAACCATCTGAACCACTGACTTTCTGACTTCCCATTATTGTTATTGTAATGCCTCGGCCATCACGCGTTGTTCTCTCGTTCATGCGTTACGTTGGCCGGGTCTGATTGTTGTGAATCTAGCGTGTCGTTCCATCGATGTCGCGACTTGCCCGCTATTGGCCCCCGAGTGGGGCAGATCGATGGCATTCGGCGGGCGATGTGGATGAGTCGTCGCTGAAGGCAGCGTGTCACTGTAGTTTGTATGCCACGCTGTCGCCATGAAGTCATCGCGTTCAAATCAATCACTTGAATAACATATCGTTAATCGTGTGACAATTCACCCTCCCACCTCGTAATTTGTTGAATTGTTACAAATGAGTTCAATCTTTATTTGCCTACTTCAGCAGTTTATTTTCTTGCTGTGGCTGTCCCACCTGATGACGATTGCTTGTGTTGCGATCGAAGTGTCGTGATCTATTATTTTTCTATCTACGTGACTTGACCGAAATAACCCAAAGAGTTACAAATGAGGTTGCACGGTTCCATTGAAGAATCATGTATTTGTTTTGTTCAAACTGTCTTTGTATGTTTAACACGTAGGCTTTCGCAACCAATATTATTCATAATAAAGGTTTTTAGGTTAGATCATCACGTTATTTATAAATGTGTCGCATCCCTCCACCACCCGACACGGCCAATCAGTAAAAAAAGTGTCACGTTGACAAGACAAAATAGTTCGCTACTTTAGCCCACCGGTGTGTTGAAGAGTGAATCCACAACATTTACAATTTTTGAGTACGACGTTTCGCTGGTAATTACATCCAGCATCATCGAGGAATTTGACAGAATATTGCCCGATGATGCTGGATGTAATTACCAGAGAAACGTCGTAGTCAAAAATACTAAATGTTGTGGATTCACTCTTCAACACGCCGGTGGGCTAAAGTAGTGAACTATTTGTCTTTTGTCAACGTGACACATTTTTTACTGATTGGCCGTGTCGGGTGGTGGAGGGTTGCGACACATTTATAAATAACGTGATCTAACCCAAAAACCTTTATTATTATGTCTTGTTTGTATATTCGTGCATATTCTCTTTGTTTTGCCCTGTTTTTTATTCGATTATCCTACAGGCCATTCATTAGCCTCAAGGTATATCGTTTAGCCTAGAGGTACATATCATACATAATGGCTTTGACCCACAATTCGATGTATGTATCGTGAACAGAAAGATAATTTAGAATCGATGAATTGCTCCTTGTTGACAGATTACCCGTAAAGTTAAAGGCATATTTGCAAACGACCTGGTGACTCTCATAATGGTTCTGCCTCCCCTCTGCCATTTTTTATTTTTCTGTCACAGAGACAAGAGCGTTTTGCTGACAAGACGTCGCTGTTGGAGGCAGAGAAGAGGGTAAGGTCTTTGCTTTCGCTCGGGTCCTGCTCCGTGTGAAAACAGTGCACTAACTTATTTAGGAGGCTGTAAAGAAAAGCTAACGGATAAACTCGGTTTGTGCGCTTGTAAATAACGGAACGGCAGGCTCGCACGCGCCTCCATTAAAATGACCGACGGGGTCTTCGCTCAATATTGGGGGCGTCGTCGTGAAAAAGTTATTCAAAGGACAGTGGTTTCCAGAAGGCGAAGGTCACCCTGCGTGGATTGAGGGCCACTCGTTGGATGGATTCGCCATCCCCGACAGCAATAGCTATCGGTCACTGTGGGCACGACCAATTATTTAAATCGTGCTATTTTCTTTAAAGTCTGTCTCCTTCCTTTCAGGAAGGCCCCCCCCCCCCCCCCCACAAAAAAAACACGTTTTAGATAAATACATAGTCCGTGCATTATTCTATATACAATTTTAGAAAAAAATGCCATTGGTCACTCGCTTCATATTTGCACACTCGTGTTATTTCTCCCATTCACGTTATTACAACAGCAATGTAATGTGCCGCCACTGGAGTGCCATCGTACTTTCAAATAAGTGTTGGACAGCCCGTGGCACACTGTGACCTGTTTTTTTCCCTCATTGTAAATTCCTCGCTGCTTTGGGGGGGGGAGAGTCTCAGCCTTCTCCACTGGATGACCACTTTTGACAACCCATAATGTTGGCACTCTCTTTATGTGGATTTTAAAACAACAAAATTGGTACTCAATGCATTGGATCAGAAGTGATGGTGGCCACGTGATTAATTACATAATTACTTGTGTGGTTAATAATGAACCAAGGGCAGGTGCCAACTGTCCATCAATCCTCCGGGGTCGATAAAATGATGACTACCTTGTGGGAAGTTGAGAGTGGCTCTTCTCCGCTGTGACTGCCCTTTGCCATAGAAATGTTGAATTTGTGCAACCTGGCTTGGGGCTGTTGACGGCGATGAGTACGACCAAACATATTTTTAAGTACAGAGGCTCCTTGTCATTAAATCGGGCACGTGGTTATATTTATCGTAATTGCTTCAATCAGTTTGTGCTTGTATGTCTGCTTCCGTGCCTGTGTTTTTTCTTCAGAATATAAAAAGTGTTCTTTCTGCCTCGAAATTAGGCGTGCTTGGAGGTCTGTAGAGTTGCGCTTTGAGAGTTGGTTGATGTCGAGGCTTTTCACATTCGTCGCTCTGAGGTTATGGAATATGTTGTCGTTATCATTTAGGTCATTGACATGTAGACATTTTAAAATGCCTCCGAAAGATTCGCTCTTTAAAGAAATATATAACAAGTAATTAAATGTTGGAGAAAATAGTTTTTCCACGCAGTGAGAATACGTAGGTATTACTTGGTTACATTCACGTACATGAGCTTTCTGCATTTTATTGACGTTTAATGTGTATGTTAACACTATGTGATTTGTGCATAGTTGTTGAATGACATGATGTTGATGACGATGATCATGATGGTACAGTCATGATACTTGACTTGAAGTGTCTCACTTATTCGCTGTTTGCATTAACATTTTGCCACGAAAACTAATAGTTATTCCATCACGTGAATTGGAAACCACCTTGTGCAAAGTTTCAGGTTTATCTGCACATTCTTGATTTTGAGCATCACCGCTTCACTGAACCAGGTCCACGTGAAAAGCCACTTCGTTTGGCCAACATTTCTGGCCAGGTAGATGAAAAAAATAATAAAATGAAAATAACTAAGATTTAGTTATGTTCTACGTGACTTTACCAAAAGAACCAAAGAGTATGGATCCTTGCAGTCATGAAAACTTTAAATCGAGAATTTGTGGCCAGGTCCCTTCTCAAAAATCTATATAGCTCAGTGGGCCTTACCTGCTAATATAAAAAAAAAAATCTATATTACTCCTAGTAGTTTAAGCAGAGTATTCTACCAATTTAACCTTGGGCATTATCACGGAAATGAGCAGAACTAGTATTTCTGCATTATTTTTCCAGATTTGTTTGTGCAAATCAAGTGCAGTCACCTCCATTTAGAGTCACCTTTTCCCTTGAGGCTCGCAATGGAGTTACCATGCTTTTGGGAAGTCGGCAGTGGTAGTTTTATTGATTGGCTCCCCTCTGCCAAAGAAAAAGTAGAATATCCACCACTGGCTTACGGATTTCATCGGGGATAAGCACCACCCTGTGCGCATTTGAGAACAGAGGCGTTTTTTTTATTGTTTTAACAAAAGATGCAGCTTTGGTTGAAAAGACTTACAGAAACCGGACGACACGAATGAATGTCCCCTGTTCGTTAAAACCAGGAAAAACGAGCCCTGGAGAGAAAAGTTTCGGAGATGGAGGAGGAGATGAAGGTACCCCGTTCAATTTATTATTCTATTTATTTGCGCATCGATGTTCATCTGAACATTTCTGTGCATCCACACTTCGTCTTTTGCTTTCCATTATCTACCCCCCCACCCCTCCCACCTCCTTCACCCCATACCACACTCTGTTGCTATTTGTCTATTACGGGCACCCTTTTAAATTGGCGTACTTTGTAACTACGATCACGACCTCATGTTGTTCTCTTTGCTTTTCACCCCCTGCCCCCCTGCCCCTCCCCCCGCACCTGTTCCCTGCCAACGCTCACGAATCGCTGTCCACACCCCGGCCGATCCCTGCGCTGGCCCACGCTCCACTCCCACGATGACGACCCTTGCGCTCCTCGACGTTGCCCGCCAATGTCTCGTCGCTTCCTTCTCTTCCACCCGCCCCTCCACCTCTAAATGCTTCCTCCGTCTGTTGGTCCCTCCACGTGGGGTGTTGCTCCTCAATGCTACATGTCCTCCCTCCTCCTCCTCCTTCAACCCCGATCAATGCTCATCATCTGTGACTGTTCTCACCACCGCTCTGCTTCCCTCTTCATAAGTGCCTCGTCTTATTTGCACTCCCTGTTTGTGCAATTCCCCCTTCCTGTACTTGTATTTGTCTCTTCGTCCTTCTGTGGCACCCCTGGCTTTGCTTGTCTCCGCTCGATGTCTCACTGGTGGTTGTGCGCAAATGTGTGTTGTGTGGCTGGTGGTGTTGTGGGGATGTGTGCGTGCATGCGTGTGGTGGATTCCGTGTCTCCATGTTATGTTTTTGTGTGTGCACGCTTGTGTGTGTGTTTACACGCATACATCTGCGTTTGTGTACGCTTTTGCTTATTTGTGTGTGCGTACCCATGCTTGTGTGTGCGTGTACGTGCGTGTGGATGCACGTGCATATGTTGCTGTGTACCGGCATGCATGTTTTGGGGTCGTGCATATGTGTATGTATGTATGTATGTGCGAGCGCATGCTTGTGCGTGTGTGTACGTGCTTGTGCATGTGACTGCATGTGCGCACGTGGCTGTGTACGCTTTCGTGCGCCTCTATAATGTGTGCGTGCCTGCCAACGTTCGTGTGTGTGTGTGTTCGTGTGTGCGTGTGTCTGCGTACGTGCGCATGCTTCCGCGCCGTATCCTTTGTCGTGGCTGCGTCGCTTGGCACACTGTTCCCCGTCTTGTCTCCCCCTGTCTCGACGGTGGGGCGGGCGGTTGACCCGGGCAGCCTCTGGAGCAGGTAATGCAGCAGGTGCGGGCTCTGAGGCAGCTCAACGAGCGGCTGCTGGCCGCGAACAAGGCCCTGACGCGCGCCGTGGCGAATCTGTCGGGCTCCTGGGCCCGGCAGCCGCAGCAGCGGCAGCCGCGGCAGCTCCACCCCGTAGACCTCTAGCCCCCACCCCCCCCCCCTGTCCCCTGTCCCCTGCCCCCCCCACTCCTCCTCCCGACTAAGGCAGGTGTCTTGCATCAACTCTTCAAGCTAAAGGGATGAGTTAAACTCCACTTTGGTTTGCAAAAAAGCGAGCCGGGGTTAGGCGTGCTCCATTTCCCAGAATGTCCGTGACGAATTTGGGTGGCTCCCTTTTTTACGTGAATCGCACGCAAGGCTCGAGCTTTCAAATGCCACTGCGCCAAAGAGGGCTACCCTCGTGGGCGTGCAGCGTATAACGACGTCTTTGTTTCATTGTTTCGCGTACGTCCACTGTTTCTCAGCTGTTTATTGGGATCGTTACGAATGGAAACTTTACTAAAGATAATCTGCGGATGGAGCCCCGTAATTTGTATGCGCAGTTCTGGAAACCGACATGTATTGGGGCCACGCAAACTGAATATCCAGTTTAGATATGGCATATTTCCACCTATCCACAGTCATAACCTTAACTCTTTAGCTTAAATTAATGGTGTAACATTCCTGAGTTGAGTTTTTTTATTGCAGTGTTGAAATGTGTTCGATTCCATGTTAAATAGTGCCAACTTCATTGTGTTGTGCAACACATTTGGACTTTTCTTAATCATTAATCTCAACGACTGTCCTTGTCCCCACGTACAATGAATTAAGAGGCTGGGAGGCCCAGCTCGCACCCACGCCCTCTTGCCAGGGAACCCAGGGAAAGATCGAGGCAAAGAATGGCACGACCTCAACCTGTAAATAAAAACATGTAGGAATTGAAGAAATGAAATGAAGGCATCCGTAATAATGAATCAGAAAAATAAGATAAATGTATCTCGATGAACATAGATGAATCCAATTTATTTTCAAATATTTCCCAGCTATATTGGGCCAGGCTGACATGGCCACTTGACCCCATCCAGCCGGAGTGCACAAGGAACGTGCACTCTTCATGGGAATTTTAGATCACTAAATAAGACTCGGTTTTTGTTCCTAGATAAAGAATATTTACTGTCATATTTAAGACCAACTCTCTGTGACTGCAACATCGGTTTGAAGGCATGCCCCACCCGGGTCAGATATGAAGTCTGGGATAACCAATTTTGCAAACTATCCTGGAGTGAAATTCATCCCTTGTCTCCAATTGTTCTGTATTTTTTTACCCCCCCCCCCCCCCGTTTCCCCCCTTTTCCCTTCCTGCTGCTGAATTCCCCCAAGTCCAATGTGTTCAGTCCTGACCGGCACGGCTTCACCGGCTCGGCACTCGTGCTACGTTGCCGCCGTTGGACCGTGTGCAGTGGGGGTGGGGGGGGGGATCCGTTTACACCCCCACTTTGATCAGCAGAAATTAGTTGGTGGGGCCAGCAGGTGTGACCAAACCAACTCCATTCCCACGTGGAGCGGTGTCTGCATTTTCCTCTCCCCAGCTGCGTTTGGCTAATCCCATTTGACCCAAGTTTCGCCAAGCTCGATGTGATTGATAGAAGATAAATTATTTAAAAAAACGAGAAACTTCCCCGCCGCCTATCGTGCGGGGGACTTCTTAACAGGTTCACGCACTCCGCTTCAGAGTGTGTGTCCCTTCTCCCCCGATCGCCATATGAAAAAACAGAGATTTAGTACTTGGGTTAATCCAGAATTTCATCGGCGATCACGCAGCATGCTCCTGTCCCCGCAAAGGTTTTTGTGCAAGCGGTGTTTCTGTATTCATGGGTACATATGTGCACGCACGTTAGAGAAAGTGTTAGTTACCAGTTGGTAATGTTCATGTTGATCATATTGGACCATTGTCAGTGTAGGATGTAGGGTGGAAGAGTTGGTCTCCCCATCTGTGTTCAGATAGAAATGCGACTTGATACAATGGTGGTGGAGGGGTCACCTGGTGTGGCTGGGGGCTCCACCGGTCCCTTCCCAGCCGTCACCATGAATAACTATTCCAGTTCATAGGTTCTGAGTTGGAGTGTGGCCATGACGTCTATTGATTAACGCAAGTACTACATCCCTGGGGGGGGGGGGGGGGGGTGTTTGCATTATCCCTTAACTCATGACAACACTAGACTTTCAACTAAATCAAGGAACATTGTTAGTCTTAAATTTCCCCACAATTGCAGGAGGCTTAAGTAGGCAATAACGAGCTGAGGTGGTGGGTTGGGCAATCGTGTATACAGCTTATTCGAAGCCTGAAATTCCATATACCCATCTTAATATAACCAAGTATAAATCAGCTGTTTTGAAGCAGAGGGTGACGGTGAAGGAGAGAGAAATGACAATTATTACCGCTTTGGTTATTTCATTTGATTATCAATATCGGACTATCTATCCAGGGCTAGTAAAATATCACTGTAGGAAGTCAACGGGAGCTGACTATCCCTCCACCATGGGAATGTATCATTTCCACCGCTGTTTTGGAGCGACCAACAACGATCGTTTAAACAGGCAGGTATTTTAACTCTATTGTTAGTAATAATCAGCACGCAGGCTCGGAACGTTATGCAGTCCATGTGCCTTTTGGTCGTTAGTGAGGCCTTTCCTCCAGGGGCTCCACTGTAAAGTGTAATTTGGTTTCATTTTGTTAAATAAAAGTTGGTGCTCAATCGACCTATTGGCAGTACTTGATGTAGTCACATGGGAAATTGGTTGCCGGGTCCATACTGCTGATCAAAGCTGCGTGTGATTAACCTTGTGTGGTTCTTCTGGGTGCCTTTTAAATGATGAATGAACATCGTGGACTTCTTAATTTCCTGTGCTTACGAGTGTAATTTTTGCAGTTTTTTTGGTTTGCAATTTACACGAGTGTGTTGTCACCTGTTAACTTTCCAGAGTCTCCGGCACAAAATTGCGGATTCCAATGATGGAAAACACGTCGGACACTATTATTGAGGCAACTGTTGTGTGACACGTGCTTGGCCTTTGAAGCACGACGACGGTGCAAAGCCGCGTTGCTAATTCCTCGCTTAGAGTCATCTTTGTTGTTGTGTCCCCGTTTGATCCCATCCGTCCGAGCGCCGCTCACGTCGTGGACTTTGCCGAGGCAACAAACATTTCTTCTGGAATTCTTTCGTCGAGTGCCTGAAAGCCCTTCTGGGCACAAATGTTGACACAACAAAAACCGATTGGTGATTTGTTGAGCGCCTTCAAAGAGATGAAAACGGCCCGGTTTCAATTCCAAGCGGCCACGTTTTTTTGTGTGTTACTTGGACGCACAGTTTTTTTGTTCGTAAAATTTTCGTTGCGTTTCATGCCTTGAACTCGGAGCTTTTCTAAGCGCTGACGTTTCTCAATTTTTTGTTTGTCTTGTCGCTGTGCTTTATTTTTCGCCCGCCGTGCAGGGTCTCGGAGACCTGAGGGCCGACAACCAGAGACTCAAGGACGAGAACGCTGCGCTGATTAGGGTGATTAGCAAGCTGTCCAAATAGCAGCGATCCGCTCCCCCGCCCCAGTCGCCCCAGTCGCCCTCACGCAGGGGGGAGCGAGAGAGAGAGCGAGCCGCAAACCGGATGGCGAAGCACATCCGTGAACCCGTCCGCTGGCTGCTCCCGGCGCTGGTGGACATCGTCCTCCACTGACCACCACTACTGCTTACCCCCCCCCTCCACTTCCCTCCACCCTGGCTCAGAGACTTGACGTGGACACACGTCCCGGATGCCACTCTGCACTGCCAATTACAAAGGCGGTAGAACCTGCCGCACCGAAGACGGTTGGGGGGGGGGGCAGTGGCGACAGTCCATGCCGGTTAATGCAGCCGCATGCGCGTGCATGCGGACGATTAGCCTTACAAGAAACCACGTTGCGTTGCCGAGTGTGCGCGGTGTTGACCGAGTGATTGGGGTGGGGGGGGGGGAGAGACGGAGAGGGGGGGGGGTCATCGCGGTCTGAGACTGCGATTGCTTTTTCCTGTGCAGGCGTTTGTGTGTGTGTGCTCTGTGTAGCCGCTGGGGGGGTACATGTGATTTGTGTTTCTCAGCTTGTGGCGTAAAGGTTGGGGGAGAGAGGGAAGTGGAGAGAGGGAAGGGGACAGGAAAGGGGCTGCGTGTGCCATTCCGTTCATTTTACCATTATTCTTATCACTATTGATATTTTATTTGTTTTAATATTATTCCCAAATCCCCCTCCCCCGTTCCATTGAGTACACCGTTCGTGTCGTGTTGTTCCATCTATGGTCACGTGTTTGTTTAAGGGCAATGAGCAAACGAACGAAACAGCTTTATTACAGCATCGTGTATTCAGGCTTGCACGGTTGCTCCCAAATCACCTTTGGCATTGAACCACTATCTACTCACCCGTGCACCCCCCCCCCCCTTCCCGAGAGGAGGTCACGACACTGTGTATGTTACCCAACCAAGTGTGCACTCGTACGGTCAGGTTAAGGAGGTGGCCGGGGGGCATTTCTCTCTGGCTCCGTGTGAGAATGTCCGCCAAGCCAACTCGTGTGTAAAGCTCACATTTGCGCGCACAGCCACTTTGGGCTGGGTGACCAGAGACCGTTACGGTCTGAGCATCTCCTTACTCAAAAGAGCATTAGTTGACACTTTACTCTCCTCGGTGGCCCTGCTTGATTGGGGGAAATTCGACGTGACCATTCAGATTTGACCTATAGGAGGATGTGTGACCTCTGTTGACTTCCCACAAAAGTGGTGCCCGTTTTAATTCTTATCGACTCTAGGGGGAATGATGGGACCGAGTCTCAACTGACGATCTGGAATTGAGTTTTGCGACTTGCCCATTGCGGGTCGAGCGTGCCCCCCCCCCCCCCTCGGCACGTTGCCACTCGGCCGGGCCTACGGTTGTGAGGGTTTCAATAAAACAAAAAAATCTGCTCGGCTGAGTGTGAACGAGAATAACCCCGAAGCCTCGAGTAAAGCCCCCCAGCTTGCGAGCGTTACATTTGCTACATTATTTTAATGCTCATGTTATATATTTTTTGTTGACTTGAAATAAAAGGCACGTAACATTATATCCTGCAGATTGCCATGCTAACGCAGTCGGTGCATTGACCTCTTATGTCCGCCAATACATTTCTAATGGGCAAAAGGGCTTTGACATCGGTGACCCGGCAACAGAATGCGCTTGCATGTCCATGGGCAACTTAGGAAATGCATGCACCAGTTGAGCCAGATTATGCAGAAGAAAACCACGTTTTTTAAAAATTAAGAAACCCAGATTTATAAATGTGTTGTCACACATGAAGTTTGAACCACATTTCCACAGCAGCCTCTTTGCAGACCTCATTAGCTGTTAGTTTGGTTTTGTTTGTTTATTTTTTGTATCTAATCTTTCCCAAAACACGTTGGGCCTGATTCATGGGTTGGTTGAAACTGCTCTCCTGGCTACTTTTCCAACAAACAATGACACACTGTCTTTTTTACCTTCGGTGTATGAGAGGGGGGAGGAGGAGGGGGGGGAGCTCAGTGTATGTCTGCATAAAATAACTTTCCACCAACATTTGGTGGGAACAATGCAAACGCCAATTTTTGTTGTTGTTGCATGTTTGACAATCTTCCAATATAAATTGGTGAATCTGCTCAAAAAAAAATTTGGCTCTGCTGAGAGATGGAGGCCAAGGCATGAAGTCAGTCTGTGTGGTACATTGCATTCGGTTCGAAAAAAAAAGAGATTGTCGGCCTTACGGTGCAAACAAGCTGTGTGAATGCATTGCTCTGAACACTGGTATCATTAAATTGGTGTGACTGAACTGTTCATGTCGGCCAAGTTCAGTTCTCAAGACGGGCAATAGATGGGGTCTGCTACGCAACATTATTGCCTGGGCATGCTATCCATCACTTGTTAAAAGTCAACATTAGCCACGTGATGTTTAGTAAAAAAATGTTTTTTGAAGTTTGTGATTTCCTTCAGAAATATTTTTTTCTGGACAAATTCCTGGCCAACAAAATAGGATTTATTATTATTATTATTGCATTATTCATGGATAAATGATCAGCCGAGGTAGCGCTTCGACTATTTGGTAGATTACAAATCCCAAATAGGGATGAACACATCCCATAATCCCTCTGGTTATTAAAACGCGTTACCTGGGGGAAGTCGAACAGTGGTCGTGCTTAGTGTCGGCTCTCCAATATCGAGTGAAATGTGGAGCTTCCACGGCGTCACTGGGTGGTCATAGTTGTAGCTGATGCTGTCCACAACCCAACCGGTCGCATCCTAACGCATCCCAAAAACGTGGCGGTCAACAACTGCCCTTAAAACACAATGTTACGTCTTTAGCTCCTCGTCTTGGTCGTGGATCTATGGGTTGCCCGCTCCACTGATGGTCTGGCACAATGCCAAGGCGTGTTTGAGAAAGGGAGACTTTGAGATGTGACGGTACCAAACGTTTTGTTTGCCACTGTTTGTTAAAAGGAGGGGTCTTGAAAAACACAGACGTAGCCCCCGTGCGTGCAGAGAGAGGCGCATGTGATGTCATGGTGGTAACTCGTGGATGTGGCTCTGTAAACTTGTAGCTACAAGCGTGCGCACCTCCCCATGTTACATAACGGTCTCCCTGCTCGTCTGCTCAGGCCATTGGTGGAATTTCCTTGTTACCATATTGGGAGCGAGACTGGGCCATCACCCCCTGGTGACTAAGCACAAAGGGGCATTTTCTCGAGCGACCCGCAGGGACGATGAGTTGCATGAACCTCTGAACGGAACTTGAACTTAGAACCCTCCAATCTGGCGTCAAAAGCTCTCTGACCAGTCACGGCTGACCAAATGTATACATTAACTTCACGGCTGAAATTTTAATAAGCATGAGCATAAAATAATCGTTATTAATGCAGTTTGCAGCAACTTAATGACCCTATACAATAATGCGCAATTGGGAAAAAAAAACTCTCAAAAGTAATGTTTTAGGACATGTTTCTGCAATTTTGAAAAATCATAAACACACTGAAGCGTGTCACCAGAGTGATTTTGAGAATTCTTCCAGGGCTTTTGAATGGAGGTCACTTGCCAGATGCACACCCATAGCCTTATCGCTGCCCTAAAATAAATGTCCCACTCCCACCAAGTTTAGGGGCAGTCACAATTCACCCATGAATGCCCTCTTCGTTTTTATTATATTTTCTTTTCTACGTTTTGAAATTGTCTACCCAACACTGCGCGTGTTTCGCTATCTCTATATATTAGCCTCGCTTCCCACACGACGTGTCAAAACAGTACTCCCAGTACGTGCAAAGCATTTTGTACGCGTATTAAGAATAATGATACGTTAAGAGACAAACGCTTGGAGTATTTTATACATACTGACTAGATGTCCACATTGAGTTGAGGAAGTGAAAAAAACTACTTTTAAAAACAATAATATAAAAAATCACGTAATAAAAATAAGTAAGGCTTTGTTTTTGAAAAGCAAAAAAATTAATAATCATGCACACTGTATTGGACTGTTAATAATACACCGTTGGAGTCTACGCGTGTACAATGCCATGCTTTGCGAGAGACGCCCAGCATGTCTACCTGTATATGTACGTACGTTTTGTATGTATATGTATGTAACGTGTTTGTGCAGCCCAGATAAGGGATGCGGCGACCCCCTGGTGTGTATGGTTAATGGCGTGAGCGTGGTTTAATTGATGATGATGTGGTTTGAACGTCTGGGAGGGGTCACAGCTGTAAGCACTCACGGACAAGAGTTCAGTTAATCCATCACAGTTTTTAACGGAACTGTATACTATTTTGTCACATAATTTTAAACAATAAAAAACATTTTAAAAATGTACGTTGCCTTCTGTGGTCTTTGTGTAAGCGCGAATATGTAATGTCCTCTAATTTTGGCAGCTGCCAAAAATCCAATGAGCCTTTCAGTATGCCCATTGGCACCCACAACCCAGGGTATTGGTACCCTGGGTAATCAAAGCATTTCCATGAAGACGAAGCTTCAGTTGAACTTCAGTCAGGAGTGGAGTCGCAAGGAACCGTAAATAGAACGTGGAGACTTGGCCCGGTGCCACTGCGATTCGAGTGCTCGACACAAAATCAAAAGGTTGCGAGTTTAAATCCTGGGCGCGTCTCGTGCATCCCGGTGATAAGGGGCCGTCCATAAATGACGTGACGCACCTGGGGGGGGGGGCTAGTCAGACATGTGTGACGAGGGGGGGGGGGGTGTTTGAGAAATGTGACGTCACATCAAAATGTGCAACTTTAAATATAGACAACACGTTCTACTTAAATATACTTTTTAATGTTTTCTACAACATCAGAGTACAGCGCCACATTGAATACGCACTACAATGACAATAGTTTAAAGCAGGTTTTATTTTTTTTGGAGGGGGGGGGGGCAGATCTTTGTGACGTCATATTTGAGGGGGGGTCTGACTTTTTTTGACGCCGTGTGACGAGAGTGGGGGGGGGGTCAAAAATCGTCCAGAATCGCGTGACGTCATTTATGGACGGCCCCTTATCTTGCATTACAATGGATACATTGGCCGTGAACTCCCAACCTTCGATTCCCCACTTTGATGTTAAGGATGTGGTTCTACCAGAGTTTCAATGTATCCGCACTGTTCAAGCACACGCACTGCGGGTCACAACACTGCAGTTCCGGCTATTTCCCTAGCATTGTCCGACTTTGGAATTCCCTAATGTTGCCTCTTTTCGCAAGTTCTTAACAGTAACCAACCTCAGTTCAAGAACGCATTCACTCAAGTTCATGTATTCAAGTTCATGTATTAGGTATCGCCCTGTGGGCCATTCGGCTCTTGAATTGGGTGCAACCGCAACAAACAAAAACACAAAAACATGAACAAGAAAACATCTTAAAGTGACTATGTGACTAAGTGCAAACAGAAAATCCAAGAAAAGACAGCAAAATATTGCAGAAAAAGCACCGTACACCAACGCTGTGTGCAAAAATCCCAGTGGGATGCAAGTCAAACAACAACAACCACAAGACAACTTAGATTAAGGCCATCAGTCTAACTCCGTACTACAACAAACAAACATGGGCAAACCAGTAAACTTTTCGAAATCCCCAAAATAAAGCCATAAAAGCAATGTAACAGTGATCATAGGAACTGGGACGTAATTTTCACAATAAACGACATAAACAACATGTACCACCAGACCCTGCAGCCATAGCTGGCTGCATGAGTCACTCCACAACAGCAGGAGCATCAATCGGAGTATTATAATTTTCAATGCACCTTTAAGGTTAGCACATTAAATCAAAACACAGGTCATACTTTGCAGCGATCATCCGGAGCGAAACATTTTATTTTAGGCCACTGAATAGCACTGGCAGCTTGGGGTGTGCAACTCCTCCAGACCAGACATTGTACACCTTCAACAGAGCTGTTCGTCGCTGTACGTTTTGGCGGTTTGGAACTTTGGTCCTCTGCTCAGCAACCATCATTAATAATAAGTAATATAAATTTTTTTTTTTTTTTAAACACGCTTTAATCAAATGTACCGTACGAGTAATGGCAGAACTCCACGACTCCAGGAAGTGGCCCCGAGGCTTGCCATAACGTATAGGGAGCGTAGTGATTTACAGCCAACGTCAGTTGAGCGTGGACAATTAGACCCAAGCAGAAACATAACATAAAAAATAATGTTGCATTTTTTTTATGATAGAATATAGTATTGTCATCAGTATGACATAAGTATACCAAGTTTGCAGTCGATACCACATTGGGAAGTGGGTTAAAATTGAGTTACAAGATTTGAGGATACGACAACAACAACAGAGTGAGTTAAATAAAAGCGTGTAATAATTAAAAGGAGCTTGCATAACTGGATTTGTGTCCTAGGCTGTCGAACATTTAAAAAAAAAAGATGTTAAAGTGACGGTCAAGTGTGCTGTTATAGCAATCTAGTGGTCTAAGTACATCGACAGATATAAACTTAAGGGAGTGACATCATGAGAATCTCATCACGACGCAACTGACCATGATTTTTGTGTTAATAAAATGAGACCCACGGTTGCTTTGGGCTTGAGTCTCAACACCTTTGCACTGATGGAGTCGAAAGCCGTGGTGAAGCGGTGCGTCCTTCGTCGCTTCCTGCAAATTTTGTGCAACAATTATCAACCCTCTGCTGATAGTTCGTTGGCTTTTCATTTGCGACACCGCTGCACAACCCACTGAGAGCATTGGTGAAGTCGTTCGGTCATGGTCCATGCCAGGGCCGAATTCCCGCCCTCGCCTCTCTCCTGAGTGACCTGGCCCAGAGAACCCGGTAGCATGTGGAGGCAAAAAAGAGCACTACCCGGCCTATGGATAAAATAAAAACCTCATTAAATGTGATAATTATCTTAATAAAAATGTATCTATATTAATCCACTCTTCTCACTAAATGTCACCATACACCTAAAAACAAAGGTCACCCGTGTATTGAGCATCTCCATGGCATCCATGTGACAACAATGCAGCGGATGACCAGCGCATTCTGTAGCAACATTTCAAAAAAAGCAGCAAAGTTTGAAAGAAAAAGTTAGTGTGTTTGGCAGGGTTTACGAGCTTACTTTATAGTTTTTTTTGTGTTGCGCCAGATGTTAAACGGAACAACACATACACCAACTTGAAAATGCGCACCGTTAAAACATTGGCTCAAGATCTTATTCTAATCGGCGTGCAGCACACACAATTCCGTGTAAATGCCCGAGTTCCCAGGTTCTACAGCGAACCGCTGCGACCACCAAACCCCGCGTACGAGAGTAAATCTGTTCCTCGAGGAGCAGGAGCACCGCAGAGGGAGCGGGCTAAACTACAACTTTTGTGTCTGCGTCCTTGAGAAAGAACAAGCAAAGGAAGTTTACGTGGTTGTTGGTGGTGGGGGGTGTGTTGGTTGGCCTTGGGCGAACCCAGTGGAAAGTGAATTAATTTGGGCTGTCATTTGAACAAAACAATACAAGTTGTACTGGTAATTGTTACTGTTCGCGATGGTTGTTGTTGTTGTTAACATGTTTGTGCATTACTGGACTATATCTTGACAAGAAAATCAATGACTCCGTTGGAACTGTAGACACGGCCAATACTTCTACGGGGATGCGTTTGTGAGCTGACTTGTGCCGAGTTGGAGGTGGTGGTGAGTGGAGGACCCAGAAAGTGATGGGGAGGTGGAGGTGGAGGAGAGATAGGAGAAGTTTTATTGGGCTCAAGGTCACCACCGTGTGCCTTGCAGTGCAATACTGTGCCAACGTATTCTGTTCTATGGTTAAGTAATAAAAAAATCTTATCTCTATTTCCCCCACTCAAATGAGCAATGGGGCGGCGCTCGTGACTGTCGGTGGAAATTTCGAGTGTTGAGGGCCCAGTCTCTGCCCGGGTTGACCGCTGTGTTGTTGAACTTTCCACAAAGTGGCACAAATGACGCAATTTAATCATCCCGTGAGGTATGATGGGCTTATTTGACCCCCGAGCGGGTTGTGAACTCGGAGTTTGAGTCGAGCCCTCTGAAGTCGCAAAGGTTTAATCGACAACTGGAACACTCGACCGAAATTGTGAATGCGGTGGAGCGCGTTGATTAGGACACCGCACTTATGAAACCAGTGACCCACCCGGGTTTGATTTCTGGCCACAGGGCTCAGGTGGGTGATGAGAGATGCAGCATTCTCGCTCTTGGCGCTCCCTGTTCACCAAACCACACTCGCCAGCGAGGGGGGTGGAATCGTGTAGTCAAGTGACCCCCATGACTGACATGGGAGTGTTGAGGTCTTCCTCCAGCGTTATGTGATAAGCAGCTGTAAGTAACCAACACATTCCTCCTGCGGAGGGAGCCGGTAGGAACGTTGGGTTACTCGGTCAATGGCCAGGGTCAACGGCGGCGTGGTGTATTCCGCAAATATGCCCGACTGTGAAGGCGGGCACAAGCCGGCGTGAGTAGGTTAAACGTTGAGTTTTATAAGGGCACCACGGGGTGACCAGCCCCTCCCCACCCAGCCCCACCCCCTACCCAGCCCCACCCCTCCCACCCAGCCCCACGCTCGCCCCCTCCCCACCTAGCCCCTCCCCACCCTCCCCACCCAGCCCCTCCCCACCCTCCCCTCCCCTCCCCACCCAGCCCCACCCTCCCCACCCAGCCCCTCCCCACCCTCCCTCCCCACCCAGCTCCTCCCTGCACGACGGACACAATAATCCCCTGCGGGCTGGTGTAACCAGGAGGTTCCTACCAGTAGTATTATTGTTGTACCGCGTTCAATTGTAATGCATGACTCTCGTGATTTATCCAGGAAAGACAATTACTTATCTTTACTTATCTTTCCTGAGCCCCTGTATCACTTCATCGCTCATCTTTCTTATGTTGCACCTGTGGCGATGTTAAATTCACCTTGTGAATTGTTATTCTGTTGCTTGAGTTATTTGTTTAAAAGTGTTATTTTACATTATTATTATTTTGACCGTCGCCTGCGTGGCTCACGCTCGCGTTTCAGTTCGTGTTAAATCTCAGAACGAGAGAATAGTGCCGCCTAGTGAGGGAAGCGCACAAGTGGATATGGAGCGGTGCGGCGGGTGCCTCGTTGAAGTTGGCAGGCAGATTTTTTACTCATTTTATTTCACCAGGTAAGGCCCACTGAGCGATACAGTACAGCTGTTTTTCAGAAGCTACCTGGCTCTCACAAATGACAGCCCAGCGAAGTGGCTTATCATCATGTGGACATTTATAGTGGCCAAACGTTCTAAACGCGTGTTGTTGATTCTAAATGTGGAGGACCCGGAGAAAAGTCCACGCGATCACGGGGCGAGCATGCAAACTCAAAATATCCAGCAGGCGTCAGGGT